GCACTCCAGCCTGGGGGACACAGTGAAACTCTGTCTCAAAAAGACAGAAACAACTGAAGGAAGAAATTCCTAATGGCAGCAAGGCTCCAACTTCCCCAGCTCTGCCGGCTGGTGACTCCCTCTTCCATACCCCATCCGATGAATCTTGGATGGATATTGATGCCTTCACCTTGAAAAATCCCTCCCTGAAGATGCAGACTCAATGTCCCTTGCTCTGTGAAGGCATCTCTGTCCCCTGACCTCACTTCCCAAACAACCGTGCCATCTGAGCCAGCAGTCACTCTGGGCCAAAGTCTGCCCCAGCTCTTGGCACATTTGCCACATTCTTCCTTTCCAGCTTCTCTGATCTAGACCATGAAGGCTGGGGACAGGCGTCTTCTCGTTCCTGGGGAGACCCCCAGGCATGGCACACAGGAAGCCTTCCATGACTAGGGTGGCACAGCAGGTTCCTGGTGTCTGAGGATGGACCAGGATGGTCTCGCTCACTCAAATGGCTCATTCAGGGTCGGAGCTGGCTGGGAAAGGACACCTGGCTTGGGTCCTCTTGCACCTGCCCACACACAAGGGCTTTGATTCGTGCTGTCAGTGGCTCTTTTCTGAACTGTGGGCACCACCACAGCTTTGTGCCTGCTGTACTGTGTATCCCCTTGCCTTTCTGGCTCTGAACAAAGCAGCTCACTCATCCTGATTTCTACAGCTCCCACCCCCCGCCACCCCCACCCTCATGGAGCCTCTATCGTGCAAGAAGGGAGGTGGGGACCTGGCAAGTCATCCAGGACAGGTATTTGAAAAGCAGGAGCCAAAATCTGAGACTCGGGCAAGTGGTTCCTAAACCCAGCTCATCAGCACTATTAAGGGGAGCAAAAAAACCAGACCGCGCCAAGCCCCCCGCCCAGAAGATCCTGACTCCTGCTGCCCACAGACAGGCGCATGAGCAGCTTTGCTGAGAACTCCTTTCCATCCCAGACCCCTGCCCTTGGGGGAGCCCCTGGGGCCTGCCAGGGGCCTCTGCCCTCATGGTTGGATCTGGACACTCCTGGGATGCTGAGGCTTCTCTACCTGCTGCAACTGCCTCACCTCACGGGAGGGTCTCTCTACTCAACTTCTGAGTCAAGGTGCATAATCAGGGTGGGGGCTGTGGGCCCCTGTAGCGGGCTGCAGAGAGCCAAGCGCCTCCCACACAGTACAGAGCAGAAGGCAGCTGGTGTCACTGGGAAAAGCCCAGATTCAAAAAGGCTGGGCTCCGGGGTCGCGCACACCCTCTCTCAGGTACCCCTGTGCAGAAAACAGTGTCCACAGGGGAGAAAGAGGCCAGGCTGGCGTCGCAGAACGTCAACGGCATAGTCACCGCCACTCCCCCGACTTCCTTCCCCCTGGGATCCCACAAACAACCCCCCGGCTGGGAGCCTGGAACTCCAGGGACCACAGCAGCCGCCATCTACTTGGCATGAGTCATGAATGCCCTTCACACAGCAATCGGATTCCTTCCTGTCTAGCCATGGTTCCCACCCATCACTCCCACTGACACAGGGACCAGGGGCTGGAGCCAGACAGTGTCTGCTCCATTGCCTCCTCGCAAACGACAACAGATAAGGATAAGAACAGCAGCAAACGCTGACCCCCCACCCGTGAGAGCATGCGTCACTCAACCTTCAGGGTCCATGGCCCCCCACCCCCATTTAAAGGCGAGGAGGCTGGGCGCAGTGCCTCACGCCTATAATCCCAGCACTTTGGGAGGCCGAGGCGGGTGGATCACCAGAGATCAGGAGTTTGAGACCAGCCTGGCCAACATGGCGAAACCCCGCCTCTACTAAAAATACAAAAAAATTAGCCAGGCATGGTGGCACATGCCTGTAATTACAGCTACTCAGGAGGCTGCGGCAGGAGAATCGCTTGAACCCAGGAGGTGGAGGTTGCAGCGAGCTGAGATGGTGCCACTGCACTCCAGCCTGGGCAAGAGAAGGAAGAAGGAAGGAGGGAAGGAGGGAAGGAGGGAAGGAGGGAAGGAGGGAAGGAGGGAGGGAGGGAGGAACACATTTGAGCGAGTGGGACAGTAACTTGCCCAGGTCACACTGAGTGTGGTGGGGGAGAGACAAAGACTCTCCTTGATGGAACTCATCTGGTCCCTCCAGCTCTTTATTCCAGCTAGATCCCATCCTTGGGCATGTTCTCAAGAATCCAATTTTTGCAACAATCCTGCTAAGTCAGTTTAGCCAGAACCCCCTGCCCTTGCTACCTGATCAGATTCCTCATCCCATGCCATCCCCCAGGGGAGATCGATCACTCTGGCCTGTCTTCAGCAAGAATCCTGTCGGGTCGGATTCACCAGAAACCCTCTTCCCCCTGATGTTACTTCATCATTTTCCATCCATCAACCCCTACCCTTCCTCTTGGCTGTAAGTCTCCACTCGTCCATGTGAATTCAGCATTGAGCCCATTTCTAAGCTTTCCATTTCTAGTCTTTTCCCCATCACAATAGTTACAAATAAAACCTGCTTTTACCACTTTAACGGCTGTCCAGCCTGGGTTTTTCTTTGACACTGCTCTCCTCTTCCCCAGGACGGAGTGGGGTGCTCAGCCAGCACCCCTAGACTGACAGAAGAGCACAGGTCATGTGCACAAGTACGTCAGTAGCACCACAGAAAAGTGTTTCAAAAGAGGGCCTGACACAGTAACACAGGAAGAGGCCTATCAGCTCTTTTCTCTCTTTCACTGAGACACCCAGTTACTTAGCAAGAGTACTCAGAGGTCCTGGTTCAAATTCAGCCACTCCCAGGATTCCAGTTGAAGATTTGGATGAGTTGAGTCAATGGTTGGCAGAACTGGAACCTACCTTTACCTGGTTTGATGAGCTGAAAAAAGGAGCCGAGGACCCAGGCTGTGAGTATCCCTGGGCTGAATGGTGAGGCTGTGCCAGATGCAGGCTGGACTGTGGGGGAGGAATGCCCTAGGCTGGGTGGGGGAGACGGAAAACATGGAGAGGGAGAGGGAAGGGGGAGCAATGGGAGCACAACCGGCTTTGTAGTCTGCTCCCTCCACCTCCCTGAATACCCGGGACCCTCATTCTGAGCAGGTTAGAGAAGCATCTCCTGAGTGTCAAATGAGCTCTCTCAAAGATCTGCTGCAAGGACCAAATGAGAAAGCACATGTGGCCAGGCACAGTGCCTCAGGCCTGTAATCCTAGCACTTTGGGAGGCTGAGGCAGGAGAATCGCTTGAACCTGGGAGGTTGCAGAGAGCCGAGATCACACCACAGCACCCCGGCCTGGGCAACAAGAGCAAAACTCCAGTCTTAAAAAATAAAAAAATAAAAATACCTTAGCTGGGCATGGCAGGGCATGTCTGTAATCCCAACGACTTGGGAGGCTAGGGCAGGATTGCTTGAGCTGAGGAGTTTGAGGTTGCAGTGAGCTATGATCCTGCCATTGCACGCCAGCCTGGGAGACAGAGCTAGATACTGTCTCAAGAAAACAAACAACAACAACAACCAAAGAAAGCACATGTAGAAAAGAGCCTGAGCCGTGACCATCACGCAAACTATGACCATCACTTGACTGATGCTAAAACACTTCGGATCTCAAAGGAGACCAGCACCAAGTACTCCATCAAGAGCTGTGTGGCCCATCTGCATGGTAAAATCTTCCACCATGAGAATCCACACAAAGGCTGGGAGGGTGAACAAGATAGTGCAGTGGGACAGGGACAGGGCAGCTGAGAGCAATTTTTAGTTAATTTATTTTGTTTTAGACAGGCGTCTCACTGTGTTGCCCTGGGTGGTCTTGAATACCTGGGCTCAAGCGATCCTCCTGCCTCAGCCTCCTGAGCAGCTGGATTACAGGCACGTGCTAGAGGAGCCTTTTTTATTTTAACCTGATCTCGAAGTACAGGGAGCCCCAGGAAGCCCTGAGTCACTGATTTCCCGTGTAAGCTTCCAAGGCAGAAAAACAGCCAGTGGCTGCACCTCCCAAGACGTGGCCAGCAGAAGGGGTGGCAGAAGGGGGTGAAGCCAGCACTTGGTAAAGATTTGCTGATCTGAATGAGAATGTGGAACCCATCAGCAAGATGACAAGTTACTCAGGGAAGGGCCACCCTCTCCCTTCATTCTTCCTGGCGCTTGGTATTTAACCGCAAGAGGATTTTTACTTCCTGCTTAGGGAGGGAGCTGGGGCTTCCTGGGGAGCCCTGTGCTTCCAGAGGCATGTGGAATGCCAGACCCACTCCCTCTAGAGGCCTCTTGTGAAGATGGAAGAGAGAGCTGTAGCCACAACCCACCAATATAATGCACTATAAGGAAAGCGTGACCAGGGCTTCCTCCCAGCTACCCCCGCGGAACTGTGAGGGTGGGAACAGGAGAAACAGGGCATGGGGTGCCTGCTATGATCCTCCAGGAAACACTGGTGGCGGGCTCCCAGGGACTGGATAAGCTTCTGAAGGACAGAGGGCCCAGGCAGTCTCCTTAAGAACCACGGCCCCCTGCTGGTCCTGTACGGACACATTCTTGGTCCCACCTGGGGGCTTCCAGGCTAGCCTGGGAGGAGACCTGTCTGTGTGCACCCTGTTCAGAGATACAGCTCTACACCCTGGGAACTGGGTCTAGACCACAGATAGCGGATGCCAAACAGGCAGCCTCTGGGACCCCTGTGCTTTTCTAAGAAGCCTGGCACAGGAGGCGCCAATTTTGGCCCAGGGCACCACCTAACCGTTCTGCCTTTGGGTTCTCCTATGGCCAGGCAGGAACTGAGGCCCCAGCTGCAAAATCAAGTTGAATGGAAATTCCTTTGGGAATGAGCCGACACAACAGACACGCAGACAGAGAGCAGAACATCAAGACCCATCAAGACACAAGCAGGCACCGACTCAGGTCTCCCACAACGGATGTTTCAGAGTCACAGCTGGCCACCCCACCCCACCCTTGGTGCAAGGCCATCTCAGTGTCCCCAAGGGTTGCATGAAAAAGGACACCATACATCAGGCAGGGGAGGGTAGAGATGGCCGCCTTACTTGGACCTGGCCCTTCCCCATGAGTCTGTCCGTGCTCTCGCCATCCTCCTTGGGGATCTTCGTCTTGTTGTAACACTTTTCGTAGCACAGTATCCTCAGGGTCTGGGAGCCCTCCAGCTCTATCTCAAATTCCTGCAGGCCCGAGGGAGAAGGGAGGAAGTCCAATGTGAACAAACAGGTCAATGTTATAGCTGAAGGGTCCTCTGAACCCAGGCTCTCCCTGTCGCCCTTGCTGGCCCAGGGGGATTGATGCCTGAGACCCTCCTCCCTTAGTCCTGGGACACATGGAAATGTTTCCTGTAAGGATCCCTGGCATGAGACTGTGGCTCAGCCTGGATGCTTCCAGAAGCTCCGACTGCCAGTCAAACCTAATCCAAACTCCTTACACCAGCATCTCAAAGGGTGATCCCCACACCACCTGCCTCACAATCTCCAGGGTGCTTGTTAAAAGATATTTCTACGGGCTGGGCGTGAGGGCTCACACCTGTAATCCCAGCACTTTGCGAGGCCGAGGTGGGCAGATCACTTGAGACCAGGAGTACGAGACTAACCTAGCCAACGTGGCAAAACCCCATCTCTACTAAAAATACAAAAAGTAGTCGGGTGTGGTGGTGCATGCCTGTAATCCCAGCTACTTGGGAGGCTGAGGCACAAGAATTGCTTGAATCAAGGAGGTGGAGGCTGCAGTGAGCCAAGATCATGCCACTGCATTCCAGCCTGGCCAACAGTGTGAGATTCTTCCTCAAAAAAAAAAAAAAAAACCCACAACAAAAAGTTATTTCTATGGACTCTGAATGATAATGATCTGTCAACATAGGTTCACTTTTTTGGTGGTGAGACTGTTCCGTAAGATATTATCACGGTGGATACACGTCATTCTACATTTGTCAAAACCCACAATGTGTAACACCAAGAATGAACCCTATCTAATGTCAACTATGAACTCTGGGTGATAATGATGGGTTAACGCAGGCTCATCAACTGTAACTCACGTCCCACCCTAGGGTGGAATGTCCATAATTGAGGTGGGGGGCAGGGGGTACATGGGAACTCTTTGTTCTTTCTGCTCCATTGTACTGCATACCTAAACCCACTCTTTAAAAAATGAATTCTATCTAAAAGGAAACAAAGAGTGATCCTTGGGGTTGACACAGGAGGAACAGGGACTTGGAGGAAAAACTGCTTCCCTAGTTTTCAAGTTGTCTGCGTGGGTGTGGTGTGAACTCTCTCCTCCGCCACCCCGATGGTGCCATTGGTGAATCTGCACTTCACGCCAATGTGTGTGCACGTGTGGCTTCTTGCTGGGGAAATGGAGGAGGATGAGGGAAGAAGAAAGCAGCAGGAATTTCTGAACCTGAATGGAGGAGTGGGTGGGTGGGTGTGTGCGCCAGGAACATGTGAGTGTCCCCAAGCCCAGATCTTCATGGACAGTGAGGGTGGTGGAGGTGACCTACTGCAATCTAACCCTCATGACTTCATGCCTCCCTGGAGCTTCCGTAGATGCCTGGCACCCTCTCTTGTTGTCTCTGCTGGGTCATGGCACTCTTGGTCTCTGCAAAGGCTTCTTCGATGGACCCCATGTGGCTCTTATACCCCCTGTCATCACAGCTGCCACTCAGCCCTTTCTGCAGGGATGTCCAGGTAATTTTCCTGAGCTCCTTGTGCCCTTGTACTATTTAAGCAACATGTCTAAAATGGTCAAAGAGTAGTGGATGCTGAGAAAGGAGACCTGGGTTCCAGCTCCACTGCTCGCTCTACCAGCCTTGTGACCCATGTAGACCAAGCAGCCTGGGGGCTCCTGGCTTCCTCCTTCACAGGAGCGGGGGTGGGAGGCAGCTCTCTGTAGGCCCAGCTGCCTCTACCTGCATCATCAAGAATGGGACCTTCGAGGTCACAACTGCTGCAGAAGCTGGGAAACGGCACCTCTCATGGATCTGGGACTTAGTCAACACAGGCCTCTCTGCAATCATTCCTCCACTCCCGAAGGGGCAGGGCCACATGGCTATGTGACTCACACAGCAGCTCTCCAAGGTGGAGGAAGGCACTGCGACACACAGTACAAGCCCAACACCCCGAGACAAGCAAGCAGGACCCTACAGTCCCTGCCCCAGCCCCACAGCAGAGCCCCAGGCTTCCGGAAGCCACGAGGGTCACGGGAGCTCATTCCAACTTCTGCGGAAAAACACTATGGAAACCTACCAAATAAACATAAGCGCTAACAAAGGCAGACAAAAAGCCCTTTTAAGTCTCTTTCCAAACACTTCTCCAGCAAAATAGGCGGCTTCTTTGTGACGAAGGGGGTGGGTAAGATTTTCAGGAACAGAGATAAAATCTCTTGGACAGGTCACCTCCTGGCCCCCCAGGAGATTCCTGGAATTCAGCAGCACTGCCTTCGGGGGAAGCCCTCAGGGAGCCCCTGAAGGTTCAGATTCTCTCCAGTGGGAAACAGCCTGCCCCGGCTGGCAGGCTCGGCCCTCCTCGGCCCTTGTAGAATCAGCTCCTCACCTCGTTCCAGTTTGGCTCAGCTGTGTCCCTGTAGACGCGCGTCTTTGCTTTATTCACAAAATACCCAAAGGAATCCACCTCCAGGGTGCAGTACAGATCTGTGGGGAGAAGGGAATATGGAGAAGGTCACAGCTCCTCTCCACATCACCCACATGGTCTGTAAGAGCAGGTGTTATTTGCAGAATCAGAAAAGAAATACAAAAGTTTTTAACTTTCTTTTTAAAAATTCAACACCTAATGGGGGCCTGGCATGAATACCAGCACCTCACGTGATGCCCCTGCCTGCTCTGTGGCATTTCCCTGGGGGCAGCTGGGAAACAGGACTTCCCACAACATTCGTTCAGTCAGTCAGTCCACAAACCCCAGCTAAAGCCCCTGTGATGAGAAGGCCCCTGCACTAGTGGGGACAGAGAGGTGTACACGCCACCGTTAGTGATGCCAGAGCAGAGGCCAGCCATCCTGGGGGATGTGGGAAGCTCCTGCATCCTACACAGCAGACCCCGCTGCAAGTATTATCGGGCAAAGAGTCAAGGCAAAGGGGACTCCAGGCCACTGTGGGGCACAGGAAGCAGCTCAGTGCTGGGGAAATCGTGGGGTGCAGGAGGAAGGGAAGGAGGCATGGGGTGCAGAAGAGTGGGGCTGGGCTGTAGGCGGTAAGTGGCAGGGTGGGGTTTGTGTTTTAGAAAAACTACCTGAGACGGGGGATGGACAGGCCTGGTGGTGGGGACCCTTTCTGCAAGGATGTCCAGAGCTATGACGACCAGGGAGGAGGCCACAGCCAGGGCCTGGCCAGGCAGCCAGAGATGATCAAGAAGCCTCACTGATGGAGAATGGCATTTAACGGAGGGAGAGCGGACCATGGTTTCTGGCTTGGCCACGGGAATGGATGGTGGTGCCCCTCAACGGGACAGGACAGAAGGGGAACAAGTTTGGGGGCCATGAATAATAGGTTTGGTTTGGGGATGCAAGGTTGAGTGCATGGGGCAAGGAAGAGATAGAAAGAAAAGTAACAGGGAGGCAAGGACAGACAAGTCTGGGACCACGGGGCAGCGTAGGGTGTCACACTGTACTGCTCACAGACAGGACCCGGGAGGAGACACAGGGATGGAGGGAGGTTGATGAAGGAAACACCAGCGTTTATGAGGCAGCCAGAGACAGGCCCAGGGGAAAGATTATGTGTTACAGTGTTATGAAGGTGCAATCTGCATGTCATATAATTCATCCATTCCAAGTGTAGGGTTTAAGGACTTTTAAGAAATTTAAACGCCAGTGCAAACAGCACCACAATCTTTTCATGACTGCTCTGACCTAAAAAGTCCCCTTAGGTTCATCTGCAGTTAGTCCTCTCCTAACCCCATCCCCCAACAATCCCTGGTAAGCTTTCTTCCTCTACATTTTGCTGTTTCTAGGAACTTTTTTTTTTTTTTCCTGAGGCGGAGGCTCCCTCTGAAGCCCAGGCTGGAATGCAGTGGCACAAGCTCGGCTCACTGCAACCTCCGCCTCCCAGGTTCAAGCGATTCTCTTGCCTCAGCCTCCCAAGTAGTTAGGATTACAGGCGCCCACCACCTTGCCTGGCTAATCTTTGTATTTTTAGTAGACATGGGGTTTCAACATGTTGGTCAGGCTGGTCTCGAACTCCGGATCTCAAGTGATCCACCTGCCTCAGCCTCCCAAAGTGCTGGGATTACAGGTGTGAGTCACCACGCCTGGCATCTTTGTATTTTTAGTAGACACAGAGTTTCATCATGTTGGTCGGGCTGGTCTCCAACTCCTGAGCTCAAGCGATCCCCATGCCTCAGCCTCCCAAATTGCTGGGATTACAGGCATGAGCCACCGTGCCTGGCCTCTAGAAACTTATACAGTGCAACTGACGTGTTACCAGCCTTTACTGTTCTGACAGCTCCAGTAACTGGGGGAGACCCCCACTTAGAGGAGAAGGAAAAAAAGCGTATTATCCATCCAGCTCGACAGAGCAGCCAAATCTGCTCTGCTGTGGGGTGAAGCTGCACTGCTGACAGCCCTCCTGGCTTGGACCCAAGACTCCTAGGCCCCCCAGGGGATGTCTGTCAAACTCCTTCCCAAACCCCTGCGATTACACGATCCACCTGCAAGGGGCAGCTCACCAGCTCCCAGGATCTGAGACAGGCTAGGGAGAGGGCAGAGGCCACTGCGGGGAAAAACAATTCCATACCCAGAAGGCATCAACAAGCACAAACACTCCACAGCGGCCAGGGGTCAAAGGTGTCCCGTGGTCATCTGAACAATCTCCCTGTTTCCCCACACCCTGCCCGATGAGTCCTTCCTGGGTGGAGGCCCTGGCTTGGCCGCTGCAACCTTCCTCCCCATACCAGTACTTACTTGAACTCTGCTTAAATCCAGTGGCTGAGTGGACGATGACATTCAGAAACCCATAGAGCCCCGGAGACTCATCATCTGCGCAAGAGACCAAAGAGGTGAGCTTCTGTTGTCCCGGGAAAGGGAGGCAGGTGACAAGCTAACTAACTCTGCTTCAGAATCAACCATCCGGTGGACACCGCGTGGTTGCCATCTGCCCAGCACAAGGCAAGCCAGTGTCATGGGCCAAAAACATACCCATCATGATCTCTGTCTTGGGGACCTCAGGATCCAGTTGGTTTCACAACACAGGCAAACCAGTGACCCAAACTGTAATAAGGTTCCAAGGACAGCAGAGGGGGTCGGGGTGACGTGGGATGTGAGTGGGGTGTGTGTGGACACATGTGCATAGCATATGCTGTATGTGTGACTGAGCATACGTGCAACAGTGAATGCAAAACTCAGCTTGACCAAAAGTGCCGGCTGGCAGGTAGCTGGAGGAGAGGAGGGCTGGGAGGACGGCAGTGGGGCCGGATCTAAGGCACACAGCATCTGAGGAGCATCTGCTGCAGCCTCCTGACTAGGAATAGAAGCTGTGCATCTCCTCAACCACCCAGCAGCAGCCACTCAGGAAGAAACTGCTCCTAACCCACCTCGTCCACTCCTGGGTGGAGACAAGAGGCCCTAATAAGCACAGCTCTTCCTTCTGAATCAAAGTCCACTAGTCCCAACAAAAGTGCTAACAGGAAGGGGGGATCAGCCTTCGGACTAGCTGCCTGCCCTCCCTACGGGTGCCCTGTACACAGGAGGGTGGGCCCACCTTCCTTGTTGATGGTCAGCGGAATGCTGTGGACGGTCTGGAGTTTCACACACGAGTTGGTCAGCATCTGCAGCTCCACAGACGTCAGGGAGAAACTTTTGAAACCTGGGAGGTTGGAAAAGAGGTGCACCAACTGGTCAGTCTGCTCCTTGGCCCTCTGGCCCCTCCCGCTGGACCCCCACCACACCCTGGGGAAGGGGCATGGCAAGAACTGGTGCCACGGCTTGGGGGCTCAGGAGAGGGCACTCGGCTCCCAAGTGCAGTGCTGGTCTGGCAGCAGAGCGAGGTGTGGCCTTGGAGAGCCCAGGCCTGCAGAAGTCTTAGCATGAGACTTACAAACACACACGTCCCACGCTACCTATGCACAGCCACGCGGCAGGTCTGAGAATGAGCGGCTGGACTGGGAGCACCTCCCTGTGAGGTCTCCCAGACAGCAGCATGGCTCTGCCCCTCCTCTGCTAACACAGGCCCTGTTTCTCCACCAGGTGAGGAAAAGGGGCTTATTTCTGGGCATAATGCTGAACAGGCTACAGAGGCTGCCACTCTGGAAATGGCTGGGGCTCCCATGTTATGACAGGAAACCCTGGGACACAAGCACTGGCAGGGCTGCCCGGAGATCCGTGTTCCTCCAGGCCACGGTGGCATTGGGGGCCGAGATGTGGCTCTGCATAGGTGAGAATAATGAGCCTGAGGGCGCAGGAGGTCAGGCCAGGCCAGAGGCATGCAGAGCCCCAGCCCAGCATCCCTGTGAAATACACTGCTTTGCAGGAGATGGCCCACAGCTGTGGGAGGACCAGGCCACCTGGATGCAGTGCTCAGCCCAGCTCCCCCTGCAAGAGGGACAGTGGCACACAAGAGTCCCAGTGGGAAGACCGGCATGTGAATCCCAAACCTCCAAGGAGGGAACCGGGTCTGCCTTCCCCACTGACACTGCCAGGCAGGAGCCGAAGGAAGGAGCACCCTGACAGAGGGAAGTGCTCAGAGAAGGAAGGGGCTGCCCCAGACAGGAGGGAGTGCCTCTGTGCTGGGAGCTAGCCACCCTGGCCATATCAACAGGGCAGTGGGGCCAGCACACTGTGGCTGCCCAAGTGGGCCGGGAGCAGATGAGGGGAAATGGGGTGGTGGCAGGGTCCCAGAAAGGCCTAGGGGGCAGGCCAGCGGTGGGGTGTATGGGCAGCGGGCTGGGGGCGGATGGCAGGGGTGTGTGTAGGGGCGGGTGTGGAATCAGGAAAGGGCCTGGGGAAGGGGGATCACAGGGCAGTGGGGAAATGAGTGCCCAGGGGATGGGGGCAGGATAGGCAGGCGGGGAGACAAGAGGCCTGGGGGCCTATCAGGGCGGCTATCTCCAATGCAACACTTCACTTGGATAAAACCCCTCAAAATAAAAAAGAAGGTTTAAAATCACAGGAGCTGCCAGCCTGGCCCTAATGTTTTGAAGCCCAGACCTTCTCGGGACAGAGGATACTCACACTTCTTCTGCTGCTCCCGGATGTTCTCCCTCCACTCTGCACGCTCATAGTCAGAGGAGATCAGGAACGTGTAACTCTAGGGTGGGCGAGAAGAACACACCCAGTTATCTCCACCCTGGCTACGCAAATGCCTGGTAGGCCCAGGGCACCTTAGAGCACACAACTCATCCCTCCAGCTGGCTGGAGCCCCGTGGCCAGGTGTGCTCACAGCCTGGCATGTCGCTTCCGGTACTCCCTACCCTTCCTGCCAGCTGGATGCCACAGCACCCGTGGCACAAGCTCTCACCTGAACCACATGGGTCAGGGTGTGATGCTGGCAGAGGGGCACAGCTTAGGGACATGGAGGTGACCAGGTGGGATCTGCAGAGGTGAAGATTAATCCAGACCTGACCTCCTGCATTCAACCCACAAGCCCCACCAGCAGAGCCCACCAGCAGCCTCTCCCGGCCAGGCTAGAAAACAAGCCATTCTGGATGTTGACAGATACGTGTTGACAGGAGGGAGAGGCCCAGGTTACAGATGGCAGCAGGAGCCAGACTCAGGATAGAAAATGCGTCTCTGGCCCTCAAGGTCCCGGGACAGCATCCCTGTACCAAGGGCCAGGTCTGCACCTGCTAGGCTCCCCTGCCCTATACCGTCCCTGGAGACCCTGCCCACTCCCAGTTGTGGAAGCTGAGCCAGCTGCCACTCAACCTGGGGGCTACGGCCCAAAGCCCCAGACAAGGGAATGAGTATGCTTGCATGCACCATGCTGGACAAGCCTCTCTCAGTGTGGGGTGCGTCCAAGTGAAAACGCGCTGCCATGAGGCAGTCAGGAGCACATCCCAGGCCGGGAGAGCAGGAGGGGCCAGCACAGCAGGCACTCACCTTGCCATTGCGGCTGTGCACCCTGAAGGCCATGCTGGGAGACATGAGCAGCAGCAGCGACTCTTGCTCCGACAGCTTCTTCTTCAGCCTCTCCGTGGCCTTGCTGCCCTTGTTCGCCCTCTGTGGGGAGATGCCACAGCCTCACCTTCCCATTCCAGCACCCCACACAACCCACTCCCACTCCATCCATCCCCACCCACTAGCTGCATTCAGCCTGCACAGGGCGAGAATCTCATCTCTCCACTCAGCGCAGCCCAGGGCCCCAGACCGCAGTTGCTGGTGGCCTTTGGAGGACAGAAACAGTCTTTTTACAGGGTCAAGGCATGGCACAAGCTGCAGGACATGCTCAGTAAACCTTTTTTGTAGGAATTAAGTCTTTCCTCTCACAAGGGCGAAGAGAAGAGACTTTTATAAACATCCTTGCCTTTCATTTTCCCAAATTCAGACAATGTCCAGGAGGCCGTTGTGACCTAGAGGGTCCCTCACCCCCTTCCTAACCCAACTAGGTTTCAGCATCAGGCCCCCTGGGCACGTTTGTGGAGGTCTCAGCAGAAGGCCAGACGACTGTCAACAGAACCTGGACGGGAAGGCCCTTCCTACGCTGAGCTGCGTGTTTCACTCTAGAAGCCACTACCCCTGGGGAGGAGAAAACTGTGCTGCCTGTCACCAGGTAGGGCCCCATCCTATCCCATCCCCCAAAGAGCTGAACATGGAGAATGCAACAGTAACAGTCAATAGGCCTCAGCTGCCCTGAGCACTGGCTCCCACTCTGCATGGGGACACCCTACCTTGGAGGTCACAGTCCCACAATGATGAACAATAGAATGTTCACCCCAGTCTCGAAGCTCCCTGTGTTCCTAAGTGTGCTGGGTTTGGGTACAGCAGGCTGGGCAGCTGGGCAAGGGCTGAGGAACTCCTGTCCTGCTGCATCCACCCTACCTGGGCATCCCTGGACCCAGGCCTAATCTTCTTGCCACCCGCTTCCTCTGGCCTGGCTAACCTTTGATTGAGGGGCTCATCCTTGCCATTTTTACAGTCTTCAAACATCTCTGGGAAAAACCAAGCGCCAGTAGTCCTGAACACCTGGCGGGGTGGCACTCTCACCTGGGCCTGGCCCACATCAGGGTAGCTTGTATGGGGGACAGCCAGCACCTCCCCCAGCCCTGCATCCTGGACTACTCCAAGCCCTCCAGTCTGGCTGTGACTTTCTCTCTGGTGACTCGGTACTTCACCCGTGTAATGGAACCACACAGCAAAGGACGCAGCCTGGGTATCAGGAGACCACACACTCGAACAGCTCAAGCCCGTGGCCAGAGGTGAGAACCCAGAAGCCTCTCTCCCGCCCAGCTGACTGAGCTCCCGCGTTCCCGCTGCTTCCTTAAAAGGACCATCCAGGCATTTGCCTGTGAACTTAAAAGGGATCACACCCTGTTCCATTATAAATACTGCTGGCTGTCATGTGCACGCTCTCTCTCTCTCTGACTCTTCATTTCTGCCTTGTGTGACCCAGGGACAGAAGACTGCCCTCCCTACTCATGGCACCTCCTTGTCCAAAACCTGTAGGTGAAATCTCTGAACTTGTTTCGTATTGTGGTGGTGTGGTTCTGAAAAACTAGGAGGTGTTGGCTGAGGTTAAGTTTTCCCCGGGCATGCCAGTGAAAACACAAAATCAGGCTCCCAGTGCCACAGCAATGGTCAGGCAGGTGTAAACTGGACCCAGTTTAAACTTGCCAGTATAAACAAGTTTCTCTCGAGAGGGACTCCCGGTCACAGGTCGGACAACTAAGTATGAGGCGGTCCACCAGGTGCAGGAAGTATCCCGTGAAAGGCACATTGTAGAGACCACGACCAGTTCCCTTCGTTTTTCTGGAGGGCTGGATTGGCAGCCGCTCTGGTATGGGGCTCCCCACTGAGCTGGGGGTTCTCAGAACAACTGGGCACCTACCTGTGCCCAGATGCCAGCCCTCCCAGAGCTGAGAGCTTAGAGGGGTCCCAGAGACCAGACCTGGGGCCCAGAGGCCTGATGGAGAAAGCACCCACTGGCCGGGTGCGGGGGCTGCTGCCCATTCAGACCACACCGAACCCGGCCCTCGCTCCCCTGGCGTGCACCTTCTCTCTCTGGATGTCACTCTTGATCTGGGAGATCTTGATCTTCAAAGCATCCAGCTCCTCGTCCGGCACCAGGGGAATGTTGGGCACTGCCTCCGATTCGTCCACCATCTGGAAGCTGAGATCCGTGAGCGGAATGTACCACTTGCAGTCATACTGCTGGGTTTTGCTGGGGATGGGGAGAGAAGAACGTTCACATGCACTGGCTGCCTTCCGTGGTTGATGTCACTGCTGTCAAGAGGCCAAGAACCCATGTTCCTGGCCATACATGGTTTACTTGACCCAAAACCCAGCATGTGTTCCATGGAACAGACTGGGATGAGGCCACTGGCAGGCGCTGGGATTCCTGGGAACTGTGATTCCTGGGAACAGACACTCTGAACATGTGACCACAGGCCCCAGGCATCTCAGGAGTCTAGATCCACCTTATCCTGAGCTAGCCCTAAGGTTGCAGGCTCATGTGGGAGCACATCAAGGCTGCACAATGACAGGACAGGACTGAAATCCACCCCTAGGGCCGCAGAGTTTGAGGGACTACAGATCTAGCTGGTCATCCCCTCACCTGACAGAAGGGGGAACTAAGGCTGTCCTCTGAGTTGACTGATTAAACCCACTCAGCAGGGAAACGGCAGGATGCAGGGAAGAGTCCCGTGCTGGTCCTTCCCAACATGGCCCTCTTTGCTCCATTCCAACCTGGTGCAACCTGGGTGAATCCAATCCCTGGAGGGAGGAGGGGAATGTGTGCAGGCCTGTGCCGAGAATAACTTAGAAGCCACCACCAGGCTGGGGGAGATAAGGGGCAGTCACCACCCAGCACTGCCTGCAGCCCCTGACCTCACGCTTCCCGGATAGGTCCCGAGGTTAACCTTTCTGCAGTGGTGCCGGAAGCCATGGTCGGGTTTACCGCTCACTACGGGAGTCAAAGCTGGTCACCATGATGCCTGATGACGTCTCCAGATTGCTAGTGACAATCTTTAACCTTGAGCCCGGCATTGTGCTCAAGTGGAGACGGAATGTAAAGAGAGGGCCCTCCATGTCCTGGAGCGTCAGGGGGAGGTCACCGCCGGGATGGGGGCCACATCGTCACTCACCCTCCACTCTGCTTCTTGAGCTTGGTGCAGAGAAGCAGGTCGGTGAAGAGGAAGACGTGGCGCAGCTTGCGGGCCCCCTCCACCAGCTCCACCATGAAGCTGTCCTTCAGCAGCTGCCGGTGCTGCGGGCACAGGGAAGGCGGGGTCAGGGCAGCCTGGGGTGATGGGTGGGGTGTGCTCGGCCCTCCCAGCCGAGCAGGAGCAGGCTGACCCAGAGACTTTCTCTCCCTGGGAAGATTTCCCTCCCTCCACATCTGACCGTCACACCCACTTTCCAGAACGTTTTGTTCATCTCACAGTCCTGCTAACAGATCAGGGCTTATGTGTAACTTCTTTGTTCAGCAAATTTCCCAATCCCTCCTGTGTGTTCCACCTTTGGAAGAGGGTGGGAGGGTGGGGGAGATGGGGAGGTAACGGCTGTGGGTCTGGAAGGGCACAGAGCCAAGCGAACAGTCTGCTGTGAAGATGGGTGATGGGAGGGCCTGCTTTAAACAGGGAAGCCGGTGGCAGTGGAGAGCCAGAATGGCAACAAGCCAGCTATGCCAGGAGCAGGTATTTCTGTAGAGGGACTATCGCAGGCACAGGCCCCTGTGGTGGGAAGAGATTGGTGCTCGAGGTAAAGATGGGGCAGTATGGTCTATGGGTGGAGATGGGCCCAGTGCACTCTGAAAAGTGGCAGCCCTCAAGGTCACGGCAAGGGTTGGGCCTGGTTATGAGGGCAGCAGGAACTGGGGGTCTCACATCTGGAACTCCTAGTCCTCCCAACTAGCAGGATGGATAGGGTCCCCGGTGTGCAGGGGCTGCACCTCTGACACCTGCCTGGATACCTGTGGCCTGAGAAGGGTTAAAGCAGAGTGCAAGTGGGCAGCACAGGGCAGGGGGCATAGGCTAATAAGCCACGTGCCCTTCTGCATCTTGGTCTGCATCTGAAAGGCAAGGGTAGGTCCTTCTTGCTCACCTTCTGTTCCAGGCAGCGCAGAAAGCGAGGGGCAACATTCACAGGCCTCTACCCTCAGGAGCCCACAACCTCGTGGGAGAGAGACCAAGTGTTTAGTGGGCACCCAGCCCATGGGGTCTCAGGGAAGGCTCACAGGGGAGGCACATACAACAGAGGGTGTGAAAACCCAGTGTCTCCCCGCAGGCGGTGCACCTGTCCCCACCTCGAGAAGTGAGGAGGCCCTGTACTCTCAGGGAGCCAGGCTGGTCCTAGAGTCAGACCAGGGGCCTCGCCCTGCTGTCAGCTGCCGCCTGAGGTTCTTCTCCGGGAGCCTCTGTCTCTCTGAACTTCCCCGATTCTGGGGCCGGAGGCAGCAGAGCTCCCCACTGGCAAGTACAGCCTGTGCCAGGCCTCCGACACTCTCGGGGTGGAGGCTTCATGTCACCATCATAAGCAGCTTGGCTCACGACAGCCAGCTGGCTCTTGTGAGGGGGAACCAATGACTTACGCAGGGGCCGCTGGTGCCCATAAGTGGAAGGGTAGGAAGACTGCCGGCGTGCCAAGGCCATGACTCATCGGCACTCACCCATACCCCGCCTGCCGCCTGGTGACAGCACCCACGAGAAGCAAGAAACTGCATGTGCACCTGGAGAAACATCATGTAGAGCTGGAGCGCTGAAGCCAGGTAACCCAAACTGCTGCATCTGCGGCGGGGACCAAGTCTGGGTAGGGTCCCAGGACACTGAGGTCCCTCTTGGCAGGGACACAGCAAACAGCCTCCTGGCCAAGGAGGAGGGGTCTCAGGCGCCTTCCCTCTGGGGGCATGGCGGGGCTGGATGGCAGGCTTCTCCATACAAAGGCACTGAGCTTCTCGCCATCACCAGCAGAGGGCACCCCATGCTCAGCTCAGAAGCTGCAGACCCAGCTCACTCTGCCTGCGGGCCAGAAATGCAGCTCCCTCTCCAGCAGAGGCTCCCCACAACTCACCTCTGGGGCACCCTCGGCCTTCGGCAAGGCCAGTGAGTGTCACACTGGGTGCCTGTAGCACCCACATGCCAGCATGCCACATTGAGAGGACACAGGCTTGACTGTGGGGAGGATGTGGTCCCACTGGGGTGCGAGCTGCAGGCCTGGGAGGCTCGGACAGTGGACTCAGCTGGTTCTGGGCTACTCTTTTGATGCTGCCACAGCCTCCCCAAACCCCCACCCACCTGTGCAACTCTTATCTGAGAGAAGCCCGAAAGCCACAGGCACCCCAGCATGTCACAGCATCTTAGGCCCTGCTCTGCAGTCCCTGTCACCTGGCCCCTGCCCTCCCAGCCCACACAGCACCAGCGCATAGCTGGCAGGCCCACATGGTGTGGCGTATGTCACTCCCTGCCCAGATGTCCCTCTCAGAAGTGCTCAGCAACTTGGTCCCCGGCCTGGAATACAGGACAGTCGGCCTTGAAATCAGCACAGGCTTCCCACATAGCCCACCCGAGTCATCCTCCAGGGCACACGGCAAGGGTGGGCCGGGGTCACAAACCTGACTGCATCCCAAAGCTGGCATAAGGCCACGTGGCTAGAAACCACTGTCCCCAATGCTCAGCATCTCACCTAGGGCAAACACTCCCAGCTGGAGCTGTGGGACAGAGAGGGCCAGGGCCTCAACGGCCCAGGACAGGGGCAGCACCACACTTTGGAGAGCTGGCTTGCTGGCGCTGTGGGAGCCTGTGTGTGAGAAGGGCACAGGGGAAGATCCTATGTGTTCTGTGTCTGCGTCTCTGTGTGTCCCTTTGTGCATCTCCATGTCTCTGGGTGTGTTCATTCTCGTGTGAGTGTGAGCGCCTGAGCGTGTCCTTGTGCATGGAACCCCACACAGGCCTGTGGCCTGGGTAGGTGTGTGCCCGTGTGTCTCACTGTGTGTGTCTCCATGTTTCTATGTGAGTATGTATTTCCAGGCAAGGGCAAGTCCCTGTGCGTGTCAGGCCTGTGTGTGTCCTGGTGCAAGTAACCCCATGTGGGCGTGGGTCCCCGTGTGTGCTGCGGGGCAGGGCAGGGCAGTGGGACAGCAGGCCCCAGCTGGCAGGACAACACTCCCCTTGGGGAGCCCCCCAACATCCCAGGTGGGAAACACCAGCTGGAAGAAACACCACCTGTCTCCGTGAACAACTAAAATCATCATCCCCACAGGAGCCCCCAGAAAGCAAGGGTGGCCAGGACAGCCTGCATCTTCACTGTCACTGGCCTTCAGGAAGGCCAGTCTGGAAGAAGCACACTGTTAAGACTGAAAGTTTCTGTCCCCCTCAGAATTCATGCTGAGGCCCTAACTCCAACGGGCTGGTATCTGGAGGTGGGGCCTTTGCAAGGTGAGTAGGTATAGACGAACCCACAGGATGGGGTGAGTGTCGCCATAAGAAGAAGACAGACAGGTCCTTTTCTCTCTCCGTGTCCACTCCCAGGAAGGCCATGTGAGGACACAGGGGGATGGCAGCCGTGTTTCTTACTGCCCTCACCAGAACCTGACCCTGCTGGCACCCTGGCCCTGGATCTCCAGCCTCCAGAACTGTGAGAGGTAAAGGCCTGTGTGTGGGCCTCCCAGCAGACAGTGCTTTGTTACAGCAGCCTGAACCGACCAAGACATGCTCCAGCAATCAGAGACCACGGCTCCATGGAGATGCTGGAAATCTTCCCCAGGTACAAGAACTGCAGTTTGATCATCAACAAATCAGCAGGGCCTTGACTGGTGGGACAAGGAAAAGTTGCCAAAGATGCCCACATAGCAGCTGAGAAAGTGGAGAAGGAAGACGGCCCAAGTGAAGACCAAGGTGGAGCTGTCAGCTGCTGGCTGGTGGGGGGGGCCCTGAAGGCAGCCAGTGGCCTCAGCCCCCACTACCCTGCCCCCAGAGCAAAGCGCACACCCCTGGAGACCTGGCTGAGTGCCACTGAACTGGCTGCCACTGCCTGTCAGTGGCCCTGTCTATGCAGAGATGTGGCAGACTCCAGAGGTTCGGCAGTGGGACCAGGAGCAACGAGGGTCACCAGGCAGGCCAATACACACTGCAGCCGAGAATGAGGTCAAGGGTCCTGCTCATCCTTCCCTCCCTCTCACTTGCTCTTGACTTGCCCTCCCTGCAGACTCTCTGGTCCCCAGGAAAGCCTCCCATGGCCAATCTGGCCCAGAAAGTTTCCTATGCCCTGAGAAACCCTATGCCAGGTAGAGGATAGGGTGGGGCCTGGAAAGAACAATGCTGGCTGATAGCCACAGTCAGGGTGGCTGGTAGCAGCTAGTATTTGCTGAGCTCTTTCTGGGTGCCAAGAAGGTGTGAAAAGAGCATGACGTAAAACATCTCATCTCACTCCACAGAACCCTCCCATGCAGCAGGCTCCAGCTTTACCACTGCCTGGAGAAGAAACAGCTCAGAGGTAAGCAACGTGCCCACGCTCCTGGAAGGAATTAGAACTTGGCCCAGACAAGTCGAGAACCCAAGTTTTGTTTGCCAATGTTTATGAAGGGCCCAGAAAGGCCTAGCCCTCGACATAGGCACTAGCCTTGCCATTACAGCTTCTGTTTGGTGTTCAGTGGAGCTGAGAACCCCACCCATCCCGTCTTCACCTCTGGGGTGGGCACCTCCCTCTCCGTAGCACCCCTGCAAACTTTGCCAACAGGTTCTGGCTTCTCCAACAGTTTTCCAACTCTTTTTTTTTTTTTTTTTTGAGACGGAATTTCACTCTGTTGCCCAGGCTGGAGTACAGAGTGCAATGGCGTGATCTCGGCTCATGGCCACCTCCACCTCACAGGTTCAAGCAATTCTCCTATCTCAGCCTCCCGAGTAGCTGGGATTATAGGCACGTGCCACCACGCCCGATTAATTTTTGCATTTTTCGTGGAGACGGGGTTTCACCATGTTGGCCAGACTGGTCTCGAACTCCTAACCTCAAGTGATCCACCCGCCCTGGCCTCCCAAAGTGCTGGGATTACAGGTGTGAGCCACCATGCCCAGCCTGCTCTCCAGCTCCTTAATCATCAGCTTAAAAACCTTGGTTCTCCTCTGCCCGAGCCTCACCATCTCTCAGCCTCAAGCCTGCACTGGTGGTACTTCCCTGCTCTAGGGCCTTCCTGCAGCTCCCGTTTGGACTGCTGCCGGTGTTCTTCCTACAAGAAGGGCCTCTGGGATCCCAGGCAGAGAAAGGGTATTGGAGGTCATTGCCTGGCTGGCTCTTGGGAAACAAAACATCCAAACTGGATCATCCACTATGCTGCGGAGCCCAAGCCGAGGGGGTGCTGAGCAGCACATGGTGCCAAGGCTCTGAGGAGACAGACAGGCAACCACGTGGGAAGTCACCCAGTAGTGGGGATCGGTTATCTAACTGTGAAGTTAATTCAGCTAAACAAATGAGCGCCACCCACCAGCCCTCAGAACCCAGGCCTGGAAAGAAACTGTGCCTGCGGGATCCTCTGATCCTGTTATTTTGGGGAGGCTAAGGAGGGCATTCTCCTGGCAGCACCTGTGGCTCATGGCCCCCAGGTGTGCTTGGGCCAGGATGCTGGGAAGCCGGAGCACCTGCTGGCCACCATTCAGCATCAGGGAGCCACCTGGAATGCAGCCCAAAGTCACTCTTCCCCAAAAAAGCACAGCCCTGGAGCCGTGCGATGTGGCTGAAAAGGGCCATGAGATTACAAGAGCCACAGTGAGGGTCTGGGGCTGGGGTGGCTGACCCTGCACAGGGCTCACATCTGGGCCTCTCCTCAATGCCAGACTTGCCCAGGCTCAGCAGGTAGCAATGGGCCGCCTCCCAGGAGGCCCAGTAGTTACTGCAAGAGAACCTCGAAACACCCAGGCCGACAGAAGCAGCTTTCCTCTTGACATCAAATGCCAGGGAAGCCAGAAACAGCCCCAACCCCTTGACGCACTCCCAGCAGCAGTAGCAGCAGCAGGGAATGGGGTAGTGTGCAGAGCTGCAAGGGACATCTCCTCCTCTTTCCTACCTCCAGGTAGTGCAGGCACAAGAGGATGGGTGGAAACGTCCTATTGGCTCACAGAGGAGTAAGGGAACCAGAGTAACACACCCGAGGGGCAGACAGGTGACCAGGGGGCCTGTGGCCTCACTCGCATCCTGGCTTAGCTACTTAGTGGCTGTGTGACTGTGGGCAAGACCCTCAACCTCTCTGAGTCGCAGTTTCCTCATCTGTAAAAGGGAGATCACCTCTGACCCCAGAGTTGTCATGAGATCTCAGAGGCATGGTTCCTTTCTCCCTTTGAGAACTTGACACTCCATGGCATGTACCAAACTAAGAGATGGGCAGAAGAGAAAAGCTCAGGCCCCACCCCTGGCTGCAAATTCTAAGAGGAAGTAGCCTGGAGCTCCTGCCCCCCTTTCCTGGCTAGTGACGTCAGGGGAGCTTGCCCGTCACCTCCAACACAGATGGCAGCATGCAGGCAGGTCACCACCCTTCACTTTCATAAAGTCCCTCTCAGGCTGTGAAACCTTTTCAGTCTCAACACCCAGTGGAGGGGCCACGGACCCTGCATCATTGCCCTCAGAGAGCCCGGGCACCCAGGGAAGCAAAAGGGTGTCCCCAAATCAGTACACTGTTAGCAGTGAGCGAGAGCGGAACCTGACGGGGCTTCGCCCATCTGGCATCTTTCTTTCTGCATCAAGGACTGCAAACCCATTGGGCAGTGCCAGAGGATACTGAGGAGCATGTCCAGGCTTGGAGTGCCCAACTGATTAGCAGCATCTGCCCCAGGAATGGCAGGGGCTGGGGCACAGCACAGGCATCTGTCTATCATCCTGGCTTAGCCACCATCAAGCCACCTCCCTTAACATGTCTCGGATAGAAAGCTCTGAATGAAGGGGTGCTGGTCAGACTCACAGTGACTTTTCTAGAGTCATTAGTCCTCCATCTTGCTTTGCAGTTGAGGCACCCAGGTGACCCCTCCTCTATGAGCAAATACCCCTCCACCAGGGTGAGGTGCTGGGGAGGATGCAGATCCAGGCCCTTGCCTTTGCGAAGCGCCCAGCCCTTCTTTTTTTTTTTTTGAGACAGAGTCTCGCTCTGTTGCCCAGGCTGGAGTGCAGTGGCACGATCTTGGCTCACTGCAACCTCTGCCTCCCAGGTTCATGAGATTCTCCTTCCTCAGCCTCCCGAGCAGCTGGGACTGCAGGTGCCCACCACCACGCCCAGCTAATTTTTTTGTATTTTTAGTAGAGATGGGGTTTTAACCGTGTTAGTCTGGATGGTCTCGAACTCCGGACCTTGTGATCCACCTGCCTTGGCATCCCAAAGCACTGGGATTACAGAGGTGAGCCACTGCGCCCAGCTGTGCCCAGCCGCACCCAGCCCTTTTTAAATTACACTTCCTCCTTGGTGGTCCTGAGATGTGGCCATGGGTAAGCATGGAAGTCAGTCCCCATGGGGATGGATGCAGGAACGAGGGCCTGGGTGCCAACTTCTAGGCAACATGGCATTTTTCTCAGTTCCCCAAAGCAGTGGATTCCAATGATCCAAGCGCCGAGAAGGCCTTTCCTTTTCTCTAGGGATGCTAAATGGCAGCTGGAGTTGCAGGGAGCAGACTTGGCACAGGGGAAGCCATGGGAAAAAGGACGCCCATGGCCACCTCCCAGGAGGTCAGAGCGCTCATAAGAGAACAGTCGGTAGAAAAGAAAGAGCAGGCGTCTCAGGAGGGTAGGGCGAGCCTGGCAGGAACCCACCCAGCACATGGAGGCTTAGGAGAAGCAAACCCAACATCCACTTAGATCTGTGTGGACTGCCCACAGGTTTGTCACAGGTTTTCTCTCCTTCTGTGGCCCTGAGCCAGGGAAGAGAACCAGGGGCAGGGCCCGGTTGTTGCTCCAAGAAGCAAGATCTGATCCCCCACCACTCCCACGTCCCAGCCACGGGATGATCAGCTGGGGAACACCTGTACTGCTCAACGCCTCCCCTGGGAGGTGCCACGGACCCACTTCCGCCTTCAAAGGGCTGAGACTGCCAAGGAGCCAACACGGATGGCCAGGACTGCCACTAAATCACACCCATTTGGGAGCCCAGGTGCCCAATGAGGTGGGGTCATGTTCCCATCCTACTGCAAAGACAAGGAATAGGCCCAGCTGGGAGAAGCTCTAGGCCACCCAGTGGGTCGGTCCTCACGATGCTGGCATGGGACCCTGAGTCTGCCCAGCTCCAGGGCTTGGACAAGCTGGAGGGTGGAATGGAGCGGACAGCTCCTTCCTCCTCCATGCCCTTCCTGGGCCAGGCCCACCAGGAGAAACTTGACCAAGTCCCTCACTCCAGGTCAACTCTGATTAGACTCTGGGTACTCAGAGTACCATTCCCAAAGTGGTGTGCGGCAGAGGGGGCTGACAGCTGCCTGCCTGATGGCCCAGGGCAGGAGGAGCAAGCCCCATGTGCTGGGCAGGTCCACCCTATGGGGGCCCTGAGGACAGGGCCTGTGTCCTTGGCACACTGCCAACCACATGGCACACGAACAAGAAGAAAGAGTAGGAGACGGTCTTTTTGTTTTTTTGTTTTTTGTTTTTTTTGAGATGGAGTTTCACTCTGTCGCCCAGGCTAGAGTGCAGTGGTGAGATCTCGGCTTGCTGCAAACTCCACCTCCTGGATTCAAGCAATTCACCTGCCTCAGCCTCTGGAGCAGCTGGGATTACAGGCACCTGCCACTGTGCCTGGCTGATTTTTGTATTTTTAGTAGAGACGGGGTTTCACCATGTTGGCCAGGCTGGTCTCGAATTCTTGATCTCATGATCCACCCGCCTAGGCCTCCCAAAGTGCTGGGATTACAGGCATAAGCCATGGTGCCCAGCCATGAGGTGGTTCTCAGAGGCAACTACAGTCAGGTTCATGCCCATTCTGTGTCCTGCCTGGGCCAGACAGCTCCTGTCCCTGCATGAGACCCCTGACGCCATGGGTCAGCTCCCCTCACCTCAGCGCTACTTCTGACAAAAGCTGCTCCCCCTGGACACCGGCTCCCCAGCTTGCACGCCTCGGCCATTCTCAGTAGCTGCTACCTGCCTGGGAATGAAACAGCCTCACTATGTGCCAGGCCCCGCCCAGGAAGGCTCAGAGCGGCACGGGCACAGGCCATCCCTGCTCATCGATGACGTGCACACAGAATACGTCAGCGATAGGGGGAACGGGAAGGAGAGTCTTCCCAGAGGAAGACATGAAGTGCTTCATCCAGTCTCACATCACAGACACAAACCACGAATCCCCCTTTCTAATCCTTAAACCCGACGTTAACTGTTTTTTAATGAAAGCACTCAGGAGGAAGTAGGAGGATTCCAGGCAGACAAAATGCCATCCTCCTACTCACCTCCTTCGCACAGGTCTCCTTGGCTGGGGAGCCTGAGCTGGCAAGAGTGTGGGGGATAAAAAAAAGGGGTCCCTGGACATAACCCACAATGACAGAAAAGAAAAGAGGTGGCTGAGTGAGGCATGGTGATGGTTGCTGCCTGGAGAGTACGGTGCATGTGGGGTCACCCCTGCAACTGCACCCAGACACCTTCCACACGGGACTGAGTGTGCTGCCAACTCACCAATCCCAAAAGGCAAGGTCTGCTGAGGACCAGGAGGGGCTCCAGGCCTCAGATCGAGGGTACCCTGCATGCCCCCAGCTCAGCAGGCTGGGCGGACCCAAGCCATCCCCTGCCACGCTCACCTCTCCCTTCTTCACCGTCATGGACTGCCGTCGGGGTGTGATCTCCTCGTTGATGCTGGACAGGAAGTTCTGTGAGATGCGGAGGGCATCCTGCAGCAAGGGGTGGTCGGGGTGGCTGGCAGGAGTATGCTTCAGCAAGTCCTGCCCCAGGAAGAAAGATTCGAGTTAGACACAGAGGAGCACTGACACCTGCCACTGTGTGCAAAGTGCAGACACAAAATGCAGACGGAGCCCAGAGCACCAGCTCCCTCAGTGTCACCACTGCCTCTCTCACATGGGCATGGGCTTTGCGGACAGAGCTTGTGTGAGCACCGTTCTAGAAGCAGGTCCTAGATGTGTTCCAGCAAACCCACGCTGCATGCACACGGCCAAGAGGGGCTTCTCTTGGATCTAGGGCAGGGTTTCTCAACCTCAGCACTGCTGACATTTTGCGTGGAGTCATTCTTTGTTGAGGGGCAAGAGAGAGCTGTCCTTTGCACTACAGAATGTCCAACACCATCCCAGGCCTCTACCCATTAGAGGCCAGTAGCACCCCCCTGGCTGCAGCTACGACAACCAATAAAGGTCTCAGAACATTGTTGCTGTGTGTGCCTGAGAGGGCAGTTTTGGTCCCAGTCTGGAGGGGCGCTGTGACTCACATGGAGGACCAGCGTGCTCCTTGTCACACGGTCCACAGGCTTGTAGAGTAGAGCTGTGGAGAGAGAGGAGTGGTGAGAGAGGCTGCACATGGAGAAGCACACCAGCTGCCTGACCACCCTCGGTGCAAGGGTGAGTGGGGAGGGGGCTGCCCCACCCTCCACAGGTGCCATCTCCCCTCTGCGCAGTGACAAGGGCAAGGCTAGAGCACCCACCTGGAACGCTTTAAGTCTAGGACATTCACTGCATGCAGAGTCCAGAGCAGCTGTCAGACCCAAGCCTGCATGGCTGGCTCGGTGACAACAGCTAAAAAGGCTCAGCACTGCCGCTCCTCTAGCCTGAGGTCAGGGAGCCCACCCTGGCAAGGTTGGGCTGGGGAGGGCCCCAATTCTGGAGGGAGACCTGCTCCCCGGCCCAGAGGGTAAGCTGAGCAAACCGCTTAGCTGCTCTTACCATCAATCCCGAGACATTTCAGACGCCTGACTCTGACGGGCAGAAACCCACTCAGATGCCAACACAACTCTTGGTTTGACAGGTTCTCTGGTGACCTGCCTGCCCGAGGACACCTGAACTCCAGAGGCACATGAGCCCCACTGCAGTGGGAGCAGCTCCCTGGCATGGCAGAAGCCCTGGCCAGCCTCAGCCACCTGTGCTTCTCCATGATGACAGTGAGCGTGGCCAAATCAGTGAGCGTGGCCAATCCCAGGCACGGATGCTTACGTGTGTCCTGAGACATGCCTCCCACAACCAGCGTAAGGCACACATCGCTATTTTCATTTTGCAGATGGGGAAACTGAGGTTTGGGGCAAAAAGCTCCAGGGCCTGCTGTTCTCTGCAAATGTAACTATTCACAACACCCTCACAACTAAAGTAAGAAGTGACTGATAATTACTGATACCACTTTCCCAACAACTCTGGACTCAATCCCTGCCCAGCCACGTAGAGCCTGTGCTGTGCACAGATTACTTTATGACTAAACTTGTCATCAGCAAAAACGGAAAATAAAATCCTTTTTACAGCCGGGTGCGGCAGCTCACGCCTGTAATCCCAGCACTTTAGGAGGCCAAGGCACTTGAGGTCAAGAGTTCAAGACCAACCTGACCAATATGAGGGAAACCCTGTCTCTATTAAAAATACAAAAATTAGCTGGCCGTGGTGGTGTGTGTCTGTAATCCCAGCTACTCGGGAGGGTGAGGCAGGAGGATCACTTGAACCCGGGAGGCGGAGGTTGCAGTGAACCGAAACTCTGCCTCAAAAAAAAAAAAATCCTCCTTACAAGGCCACTGGGGTCAACAGGATGACATTTAAGTCAATTGAAGCAGCACCTTGTTGCTACTCTTGGTGGCGAACTGGTACTGATGGTATCCTTCCCTGCTGCCCTCCCTGAATTGTTCTTTCCTCGTCCCCACTCTATTTGAAGAGCAGACCAGGGAAGGTGCCAAGGGGTGACCCAACTGGGCACTGTGTCTGCTTTTCCATGACGCCCCCTCTGCCAGCAGCAGCCTCCCTGACAAGGGCACACAGAGACCTCAGCATGCAGAACTCACTTTCTAGAGAGTTCTTGGTCGTTGGATCCTTGGCATCTTTGTTGCTTCTGGCTCTCAGGTTCTGCAGAGAGAAAAGCGCATGTTCGCACAGATGAGAGAGCAGCTTTGATGCAGAACGTTCCCCCTTTGGCAGCAGTTTCAGCTTTCCCTCCTCACTGCAACAAACCCCAGGCACATTCTGAGCCGAGACTGAAATCACAGGGTGTGCAGGGACACACGAGCAAGCTGAGCATGCAGGATGCCCTGGATGCTGCGGTCTACCTGGGACAGGGCTTCTCTGCCAGGGCACCGTTGACATTTTGGGCTACAAATTCTCTAAGCAGCTTTCCTGGGCACCATAGGGTGCTGAGCAGCTGCCCTGGCCTCTACCTATAGGTACAGGAGCATGCCTGCCTTCCTGCTGTTGTGACATCCAAAAATGTCTCCAGGCATTGCCAAGTGTCCCCTGTGAACAAAATCATGCCTGGCTGAGATCCTCTGACACAGAGAATCCTGTAAATGGAGGCCAACAGGAGCATGCTCCTAAACACACGTCACTGTTTTCTTGGGGCAATTAGACAGCATGCAGGGGGCTGGTGGTTCAGAAGAGCACTCATATTTGGAGACGGCCACGGCAGGCCCACCACTGCAGACACACTGGATTATAACTCCACCTGCCCTCTCCGGATTTGCAAGTGTACTTACTAAAAAATGAGGTGCTAAGATTCCCAGGGCAAAAGCAGGGCTTGTAAGTGAACAGCCTAGGCTGTTTTGATACAACTGCGTTGAAAGCATCACTAAAGAAATGTAGAATAAAAGATCCTGTGTGCCTAAAATCCTCTGGGAAGGAGCTGAGATTAATTTCTGGTACTAAGCTTCTGAACAAAAGCATAAACAGCAGAGACGGAAGAGGTTCTGAGGTTGCTCTGCCAACCTCTTGTGCTGCAGGAAACATCTCAAGACCAAAAGACAGTGTTTTCCAGCTCACTGGGGCCAAACGCTGCCATGCACTTTGATACCTTTCCTGAGAGTTTAACAGCCCTCGCAGTGATTTTTCCTCTGTACATCTGACTCAGCAGTTCCCAAAGGGTGTGAGGGGGTGGGAGAGCCACACAAAAGACTGCAAAAACCAGGTGCTGGGCTCACACAAGCCTGGGAGGCGGCCCACGTATCCGTGGACAGTGCTATGCTTGGGAGTTATCTAGGAGCTCCAGGAACACCTGCCTCAAGAAAACTTACAAGTTTGGTTTAACCCTGTATTTCCCAAACTGGCCTGACTCCCAAAGCCCTTTTCATGTAATTCTTATTACCCACTGTCTGGAGAGCTGGCGTTCCATGGAACCGGTTCTAATGATGCTGCCCATCTCTCAGGACTGTCCCAGGAGAAGATGGACACTACTCCACTCCTTCCCGTACTTGAGGGTGATCCTCGAACTCCCATGCCTGAGCACTGACCCCCTACACCTCCACAGGGCTTGCTGCTTTCTCTTCCTTGAGTTTGACTCTGCTGTCTTTGGGTTGCTCCAATTCTTATGGGTCTTTTTTGAAACACCGAGAACCAAAGTGCAAGTCGCCCTGACGGTGCAGGTGCCACAAACCTTCACAGTGGGTCGGTTTGCAGCTGGTCCTGAGCCCCATCCCACTCCCCGCATTTCAGCCACAGCTCAGAATCCACCGGTGCATGGTTGGTGGGACCACGTGATCCCCAGGTGGTGTCCCATGGTGTTTCCTCTCTCCTCTGCAGAAACCTGTCCAGGTGAACTTAAACTTGTCCACCTAACTGTAACCTGCTCTTAAAAAATCAGGTCCCTGATTTGTCAGGGTCACTTGAAATTCGGTGCCATCATTCCAGCTGTTGGGGAGGAGGGTTGCTAGTTTAATGAAAAAGGAAAAGAGAATAGACTGAATGGTCCAGAGGGAATCTGGCAGTGGGGAGGGAGCTGCAGCCCCAGATGCATGAAGAGCCTGTTACCAGCAGCACCTGGCGGAGCAGGGTGCCCCACAGATTCTGGAGGAACAGGGCGGCAGGTACTGCCACCACTGGAGACATCAGAGCGAAGCCCGTGATGCTCCATCCTGCAATAAACAATAAGACGACACAAAGCCTCAGGAACAAAGCCTAGGGGTGACAGCTGAGGGTGTGTCCCAGCAAGGGTGACTGCATTCACTCCCTATTTCTAGTGCGCATGTCTCTTTCTAACCCTGCGGTTCTCACCTGGAGGGCTTTCTCCTCAGAACCCTTGCTGGGTGGGGGAAAGCCAAGTCAGAAGGCAAAGCTACAGTGAGATGGGGGGCTCATGAAGCAGCAAGGGACCCCGAAGAGGAAAACACTGCAGAGTGGCCACCAGGCAGACAGGCTGGGGAAGGGCAGGAAGAACCCCAGTCTGGAGAGTGCAGACCCAGGGGTGCGGCTGGCTTCTGCCTGAACGGCCCATTCATGGTCTCTGTTTCTGAATGAGCTTTCGAGGCCCTGGGTGCTAACACTGCATGGTTGGAGGTTTCAGCTTCCTGGGGCTAAATGCAGGCAGGGAGTCAGCAGCCTCTCAGACCCAGGGCCTGGGGTAGTGCAGCTCCAACCTGTCGCTTTGCTCCTGCACGTGGGTCTACAAAGCACAGGTGACATGAGCCCTCGCCCCATGGCACTAGCCCCTCAATGCTTCCTCAATGCTCTCAAGGTCTGGCAGGCTAGAAAAGGAAAAGTGGGACACCTCCAGGCTTGCCTCCAGTGCCAGGTACAAAGTCAGCCTCAGGACTCCTGTGGTGAGAGCTGTTAACGGGCAGAACTACAGACACCCCTCACTGCAGACAGACAGTGCAGTGTCCCTGGAACCCGGCCAACCCCCAGAATCAGGCCCTCGCCCCTGGGGAGGCCGGACACCCTGTGGGCTGCTCCTTCTGTCTGGGCACAACAGCATCCCCAGCATAGGGCTGACGCAATGAACCCAACAGAATCTGGAAACACCTGTGGTTTACGACCAGATCTTGATCTGGTGCACTCTGTTCTCCTGGGGAGGTGGAGGGTACAGGTGGGAGTCAGCGGCGCACCTGTCTGAAGAGCATCAAGGCATTACCTCAGAGATTTCTGCAAACTGAGCATTGGCCTGACAGCACTTCTCAGCCATTTCCATGGCAACTCCGTAGTTGTCCACAAAGGCCCGGTACACACCCAGCTGGCTGGCCTGAGGGGGAGGAAGGAAGAGAGAGTGGGACAGGTGCTGCTGCTCCCCCACCTTTCGGAAGAGCAGGCTCCTGTGCACAGCTCTGCAGAAACTCCAGGGGCAGCAGACGGCTCACAGGCTGCAGAGGCCTCGGCGCTTCCATGCTGCTCCCTCCCACCTGCTCCCCTCCCCACGCACCCAGCACATTTCCCGCTCCCAAAACGACATGCTGAGAAGTGACTCACAGCACCAGGCAGGTAACAGTTCCCTTCCAGAGCTACTTATTCCTCCCACCCCATTCGCTGAAATGGTGCCATGAGCGGCAGCTGAAGTTCAAGATTGTCAGTGAATCTGGACAAGTGTCTGCACGCAGCACCTTCTCATTCTGGCTGCAGGAGTGTACCCTGGACACGGAGGTCACCCCCCATCCCACCCATGGTGTTCCACGCCATGTCCAGTCCCTTCAGACACATAAGAAATGCCAAGTCCGGCTGCTTTTGCAGAGGAGAGCCTCCTGCTGCACAGACACGAGCCCATCCTGGGCCTGGTGAGGGTGCTCAGGTGTCATGCTGCACACCTGGTGGGGGAGACTGGCTGTAAGGCGAGAGGTGTTCTGTTTGTTCTTTATGAAACCAACAGCAATAAGAGCGCTCCTCACTGCTCAGACACGCACTCAATTCAGCAACAATTTGCCTTGTGTGTGAGTGCGGCAGACACCTCCATCTCTGGGCCCCACAACACCTTTATGGGCAGCGAGGGAAAAACCAGCAAACCCAGGCCTGGGGAGTGTAAGGGCAGACCCAGGGGACACACTGGTTAGGGTTGGAGACTCCCACTGTAGTTGACTGCAAGCTGGAAGCCCAAGGCATTCACGGCTCCTGGCATTTGTTTTGTGTCAAACCTAAATTTTATTTCCATGTGCATTTGCATCTATATTGAATTTTATGTTTCTACAGATGACAATCCCAGATGCTGGATAAACCAGGCACCCTTGGCACTGTCTGATATTCTGGCCCTGCTCCCTACAGGGGCTGCAAGAAGGGGCTTAGAGTGTACGAGGAAAGGGTAGCAGCCGGAAGACACCTGCCAGGCCCCTGCCATGCTGACCACCCGGAGGAGTCCTTGTGTCCTCCAATTCTAGGTTCTTCCTCATCTGTGCAGTGGTGAGGCCCAGAGCTCTTGCTTCTTTCCTTCCTCTGCAAGTCACTGAGTGCCTCCCAGTCAAACTAAGGGCCTGCTTTAGGCCTTGTCACCACAGTGGTAAACAACTCAGACACAGCGCTGCCCTCCGAAGCTGGTGTTCTAACAGGAGAGCGCTTATAAACACATGCATGAATACACACAAGGAATGTAATGGCAGATGGTTACAAGCGGGACAGGGGCTGAGAGCGACGAGGCTGCTTTCAAGAATGTGGTCAGGACCAGGACAGCCTCTCAGAAGAGCTGACAGCTGAGCAGGGTCTCGGGGGTCTTGGGAGAAGGACTCCTTTCAAGACTTTTCCTCCCTCCTGCTCCAGGAGCTCACATCTTCCAGGTGGCTTGTGAGAAGTTCTAAGCAATTCCTTCCCACATTTTTCGCTAATCAAAAACGTGCCTCCGGATCTGATGCACTGAGAAGCACACAGCCTCGCTGCTGTGGTACTGTTACACAGAACGTGAAGCTATTCCTGAGGAAACTGGCAAACCCGAGCAGGTCTGTGCCCTTCAAAAAATGTCAAGGTTGGCTGGGTATGGCAGCTCATGCCTGTAATCCTAGCACTTTGGGAGGCCGAGGCAGGCAGATCATTTGAGGTCAGGAGTTCAAGAACAGCCTGGCCAACATGGCAATACCGTTTCTACTGAAAATACCAAAATTGGCCAGGCGTAATTGCAGATGCCTATAATCCCGGCCACTTGGGAGGCTGAGGCAGGAGAATTGCATGAACCTGGGAGGTGGAGGTTGCAGGGACCCGAGATCGCACCACTGCACTCCAGTCTGGGTGATACAGCGAGACTCCATCTCCAAAAGAAAAAAAAAAAAAAGGTAGGGTGCAGTGGCTCACACCTGTAATCCCAGCACTTTGGGCGGCTGAGGCGGGCAGATCACCTGAGGTCAGGAGTTCAAGACCAGCCTGGTCAACATGGTGAAACCTTGTCTCTACTAAAAACACACAAAAAATTAGCTGGGCATGGTGGTGCACGCCTGTAGTCCCAGCTACTGGGGAGGCTGAGGCAGGAGAATCACCTGAACCCAGGAGGCAGAGGTTGCAGTGAGCCAAGATTGCGCCACTGCACTCCAGCTTGGGTGACAGAGGGAGACTCTATCTCAAGGGGAAAAAAAAAAAAAAAGTCAAGGTCATGGAAGACAAGCAAAGTCTAAGGAACTGGTACAGATTGAAGGAGACTAGAGAGATGTGACAACCAAGTACATAACATGATCTTAAACCGGGGCCTGAATCAGGGAATGAAAACAGCTGTGAAGAATGCAACTGTTAACTTGGGGGAAATTTATATGAACTACATATTAAATAATAGTATCTTATGAATGTGAAATTTCCTGAATTTGACAAATTGTACTGTGGGTTATAGGAGAGAATATCCTTGTTCTTAGCAAATATACAATGAAGTATTCAGGGGGCAAAACATCTTGTGCTTGTGTGTGTGTGTGTGTGTGTGTGTGTATGTGCATGTGCATCTGTGTGTGCACAGAAAGAGATAAAGCAAATGTGGCAAAAAGTTACAATCAGTGTATCTGGGTGAAGGCTATACTAAAGCTCTTTGCCCCATTCTTACAGCTCTCCTGTAAGTTTGAAATAATTAGAAAAATAAAAACTCTGAGTTGTGAAAACTTCAGCCAGAAACATAACCCAGAGCAGGGAAGTCAGCCCGCACAGCCCCACAGGAGGAGGTGGCAGGAGCCGCATTTGAGTCTGGCTTTCTGAACCACTGGACGAGGATCACGAGTTTCTGGGCTTGGAAGAGGCACCGGAGCTGGGCAGGGCACTGCAAGCTCCTTTGGTTCTAAGACTTGTCCAACTGGGAAGCCTGACGGAGCGATGCTGGGCCAACCCTACTGAGCTGGTCATGGGGACAAGGGCAGGCACTGGGCCTATCTGTCCTTGGGGAGTCCCCAGCACCCAGCCCAGGTTGAACACACATGAGTACTCAGCTCATGGTTTTGGGGAACAACTTCCCACTGCAACCCCAGCCTCTCCCCCAAGTCTTCCGGCTGCATCATCTGACACATGAAGGTACCTCAAGGCCTCCAGGGAAGCCAGCGGAAACTTTCCAAAGTTAAATTCCCGTGTTCCTGAGATATTAAAATTTTAAAAAAGTCTCTGAGTGATTTCCAAATATTATTTGGGGAAGAGCTCTGGATGTGTGTTTTTTTCCCCCAACACCACGATTCTCCGTTTCTCAGGAGGGCGGCAGGCCAAGTCACATCCGCTAGGTGTTTGCTTTTTTTTTTCTGTGAACAATTGAACAATCAAGCTTTATTTTTACAAAAATGAAAACTGTAGCATGTCTCAATAGCCAGACTGAGTTAGGGCTGGCTCAGAACTCACTCAGAACTGCTGGGTTCCCTTTGCCCTTTCTTGGTTTCAAGGCAAAACCAGGCCACGGTGCCCCAGGAATGAACCCCTGGCCCCGAGAGGTTAATCAAGGGTGAGGTCTGGCTGGTGCCAGCCAGCTACTGGCAGCCTCATCCTTCTTTCCAGGAAGGGGCAGAAAGGAACCATCTGGGAAGGTGGGAGCATCTCACCTCACTCCGTAGGCTATCGTGGCTCTAACAAGGGATGTAGGATGGGCCTCTCCAGGCCAGATCCTTGCTCTGGCCAAACAGGGTCGCAAAGCCTGGGTTCAGCCTCATTCCTCTAAAGCAGCAGGTCCTGCCTCTCCAACAGGTTCCTGGGAGGGACTGCATCTCTGGTGAGCCCCAAAGCCCCAGGAGTCAGAAGCCTCTAGTGTAAGGTGCCTGAGCACCGGGGTCACAGGCCCAGGAGGACAGTGGGGCAGTGGGGAGGAGCTATCACTGTACCCTCCAGGCAAGAGAGGTCCCTGACTCGCTGGTCTCCTTGGCCCACAGGCAGGGGTGGCCCTGACAGTCATGGGTTTTGAAAATCCAGGACGTGGAGGTCATAAGACAGTGCAGCATAGAGATGCTTGGTGGTGAGACGCAGGCAGTACACAGGGCTGCTGAAGGGGGTTGATGTCAGCGGGAAGGTGTGCAGGCAGCCGCAGGCCCTCTGGCACCGGTCTCACAGCTGTACAACACTGTAGTAGGAGGAGCCTGTGGCCAGCAAGTGGTTGCCATCTGTCTGCAGACAGTACAGGGTGCTGCTGTGGGGCTCCTCCCACTCCATGACACCTTTCCGGACACTGGTGCAGAGGTCCCAGTAGTGAACGTAGGTGTCATAGCCACAGGACAGCAGTGTGAAAGGGGACTCATACATGACATCCAGCACCCCAGCCCCTGGGAGAAAGTCACTGCCCAAGTATGTCATCAGCTGCCCACTGTTGAGGTCCCAGACTCTCAGGGGTGAGAAGTGCCCGCAACAAGCCGTCCCTGTCACAAAAGAGCTGAGTAATGGGCTGATAGCAATGGACCAGACTCAGTCTTCAATCTGGATGGTGTGTAAACACTGCTCCAGCCAGCCTGAGGCCAAAGGCCACACCTTGGCCATCCTGTCCCTGGAGCCACTCACAGTGATGCCCCCTTTGCAATCCACACAGTTCACCTCCTGTCCATGAGCCGAGTACTTGACAGTGAAGGTGCTGTGAATCTTACCAACGCCAATCTTCCCATCTCCTCCTGCACTGACAATATGCAAGCTGGCCAGCACAAAGTGGCAAATGTCCTCACCATGCCCAGTAAAGACTCCCAGAGCAGGTCGCAGCCGGTGAAGGGCCGTAGCCAGCGGCACACCTGGGCCAGGCAGCCGAAGGCCCGCATGTCCAGGTGAGAGCAGGTGAGCAGCAGCAGCACCTCCGGCAGGCGCCAGAGCGTGGACCCTGCAGCCGGGCAGGCGGCAGACTCCCGAGCTGCCGCCGCCTCCTCCTCCCTGGCTGCCACGGCCATGGCCGCCCCTGTCCCGGAGATGCAGGCCCAAGCCTGACCCCCTCGTCCTTGTGCTCTTCTCAGCCTGGCGCCCTCCCAATGCCTAGCCCTGACTCTCCATTCCTCCTTCTTCCCATACTCTTCCATGTGCCTCCTTCCCGGCCCCTGAGCTCCCCTCATCTCTTTTGATGATGCCTCTTGCCCCTTCCTCCATGCTTCTGCCTCCCTGTTTCCTCTCTTGGGCATGCCCTCGCTCCTGCCTCAACCCCCAGCCCCACTGTCTTCTTCGCCGTCTGCGGCCCGGGCTTCCCTTCCGCCCCGCTTCCTCTTCCTCCTTGCCCCTCTCGCTCGCTTTTCCCTTCCTCTTCCCCTTCCTTCACTTCCCCCTCACCACTCTCCCTTTCTGCAGCTTCCTTGCCTCTTCGCCCCCCGCCCTCGCCCAGGCCACCGTTGGTGGGGGCGGGGGGGTTCCTGACGCGGAGCCCAGCCTGAGCCACCACCCTCCACTAGGTTTAAAACTGCTGACACACACAGGGAGAAATTGGGGGGGGGGCCTTCAAAGATGGAGGGGGCAGCATATATCAAAATACAGCCTCCTGCTCTCTGGCCATGGCAGGAAGAGCCCCAGGAAGCAAGAACTGGAACAAAGTAAGTGCCTTGTGTGTTCCTCAAGCCTTAGCTCTGGCTTGGAGTTTGGGGGTTCTGCAGCACAGGGTGGCAGAGGGAGGGGTCCCCCTACAGGAAAGCCACACCTCAGAGCAGAAAACTCAGTCCCCAGCATCAGCCAAGGGGAGGCCCAAGGCCAGAGCTGGGTGTCTCAGCAGTCCAGAAGTGCTGGGGGCAGGGCTTGTAAGGAATCACATGCTCTTCACGCTTAGAGGGGGCCTGGCCTCCGGCCACATCTGCCCCTAGAGGACTTGTTTCCCAGTGGAGGAAGCCTGCTTCAGGGAAAGTGTGTACACACAGGGTGTGGCGGCGCGCACCTGTAGTCCCAGCCATGCTGAAAGCTGAGGCCGGAGGATGGCTTCAGTCAGGAGTTCTGGGCTGCAGTGCACTACATACTAAGTTTGGCATCGATATGGTGACCTCCCAGGAATCAGGAACCACCAGTTTGCCTAAGCAGTGAAACAGCCAAGATTGGAAACGAAGGAGGTCAAAACTCCCATGCTGATGAGCAGTGGAATCATGCCTATGAAGAGCCACTGCACTCCAGCCTGGACAACGCAGGGAGTCCCCAGCTCTTTCTAAAAATACCTATCTAAATAAATATAAATTAAAAAACAAACCAAAGAACAAACAAACAAAAAAGGCTGGGCATGGTGGCTCACGCCTGTAATCTCAGTACTTTGGGAGGCCAAGTCGGGTGGATCATTTGAGGCTGGGAGTTCGAGACCAGACTGGCCAACATAGCAAAACCCTGTCTCTACGTAAAACACAAAACATTAGCTGGATGTGGTGGTACATGCCTGTAGTCCTAGAACCGGCCCTGGTCAACTCACCAGCTTCTGGAAGAGGTCGCCCACCCGCTGCTGGTGGCTCCACTGCTGCACGCGGGGGAAAAGCCCATCATAGAACTCCTTGTGGATCTCATAGAGCTCAGGCACTTTGAAGAAGATGGTCTCAATCTGCTGACTCGTCAGTACCGGCTGAGAGGTGGTGGCAGCAGCTTTCAAAGGCTTCATGGGCTGAAACAGGACACAGGTGAGGTAGCACAGGTGAGAGGGGCTGCCATCTGTCAGGTGCATTGTATGACAGTAGACAGTCATGGTTACCTGACACATGCACTTTTATTTTTAAATTACATAACAAATACAATTTTAAAACCAGCTTGGTTTGGCAACTCAGTCTTCCACTGGTATCCACTCCAGGGATGGCGAGCTGCACCCAGGCTCTGACAGCTGACCTAGGACTTAAGGACAAAGAGGCTCCCCAACCCTGTCATCCTCCCCCTTCCCGCCCTGCTCAGCTCCCTAAACCCTCCTCACCAGCAGCAGTGCCTCCAGGTGGCTCAGGTAAGTCTCCTCACTAGCCAGGATTCCAGACAGGACCCATTTTCTCATCTCCAGGCCCTTTTCCAAGTCCAGCTCACTCTGCAGGAGAAACAGACAGAAGTCAGCCTGGAAGGGCGGTAGGGGGATGCTTGCATCAGGGCCCTCTGAGAGAGGAGGGCCAGCTTGTTGACCTCTGGACAAACCCCTGCCCCCACGAAGGCTCCACATGGAATTAGAGAGGCAGGGGACCCTCCGCACATACTAAGCCACATGCTCGTGGTCACTGAGAATCCCAGGGGTTCATCTGGCAACGCCCAGGGCCACCCTTAGTCTTGCCAGACCGCGAAACAGAGTTTGGTGTGGAGCAGGCCGGGCCAGGCCTCGCTCCACACCTTCTGCCTGCAACCCAAGAGCAGTTGCCTCACACAGTTGAGGAAGGAGGAGGCGGCTCTGAGCCGAGGGGGCGTCGGAACCCACAGCATGGCCACCTGGCTCCTGCTGCAGCCAAGCTCCACTCCCCACTGCTCACCTGGGGCCCTCCTCACCTGGATTCTCTGACTGCTGCTGCCACGTGACCCTTTGACTGACGCCCTCCAGGCAGCACCGCCTTCTCCAGATGCCCTCCCTCCCAGCCACAGGGACTGCTACCACCTGCTCCAGAAGAACCCTGTCCCTGGGGCTCAAGGCCTGTGTCCCCTGACCCTGCTTTTCAGACCCCGACATCACTGGCAGGGACCCTCTTACACGAGGGCTTTGACAAAGTCCCCCTTCCCATTAGCATCCCTGCTGAAAGTTCAGGGAAGCTCTACTGTTTTTGTCTCCAAATGATGAAGCTGACACATTGTTGGATGTTTTTTTTGTTTGTTTGTTTGTTTGTTTGTTTGTTTTTGAGACGGAGTCTCGCTCTGTCGCCCAGGCTGGAGTGCAGTGGCCGGATCTCAGCTCACTGCTAGCTCCGCCTCCCGGGTTTACGCCATTCTCCTGCCTCAGCCTCCCGAGTAGCTGGGACTACAGGCGCCCACCACCGCGCCCAGCTTTTTTTGTATTTTTTTAGTAGAGACGGGGTTTCACCGTGTTAGCCAGGATGGTCTCGATCTCCTGACCTCGTGATCCGCCCGTCTCGGCCTCCCAAAGTGCTGGGATTACAGGCTTGAGCCACCGCGCCCGGCCCATTGTTGGATGTTGAAGTAGGGGACAGAGACCATGGGAGGCCACCTTCTAATCCTAGTTATGATAATGTCTCCCCTTCCCACTCAGATTCATGTTGAAGCCCTAACCCCCAGTACCTTAGAGCGTTACTGGATCTGAAGGCAGGGCCTTTAAAGAGGTGATTAAGCTAAACTGAAGCCAAAAGATTCCACGTGTCTCATTCTTTTCTTTTTGAGACGACGTCTCGCTCTGTCACTCAGGCTGGAGTGCTGTGGCACAGTCACAGCTTACTGCAGCCTTGAGAGCCCAGGCTCAAGCAAACCTCCCACCTGAGCCTCCCAAGTAGCTGGGACCTCATGCACCCACCACCTTGCTCTGCTAACTTAAACATTTTTGTGGGGTCCAGGCGCAATGTGTCACGCCTATAATCCCAGCAGTTTGGAAGGCCGAGGCGGGTGGATCACCCGAGGTCAGGAGTTCGAGATCACCAGCCTGGCCAACATGGTGAAACCCTGTCTCTACTAAAAATACAAAAATTAGCCGTGTGTGGTGGCAGGCACCTGTAATCCCCGCTACTTGGGAGGCAGAGGCAGAAGCATTGCCTGAACATGGGAGGGGGAGGTTGCAGTGAGCCGAGACCATGCCATGGCACTCCAGCCTGGGCAATAAGAGCGAAACCCCATCTCAAAAAAAAAAAATGTGTGTGTGTGTGTGTGTAAACAAGGTCTTGCCATGTTGCCCAGGCTGGTCTCAAACTCCTGAGCTCAAGCAGTCCTTCCACCTCAGCCTCCCAGAGTGTTGGGATTACAGGCATGAGCCACGGCACCCCACCAGGACCGGAGTGCTGGTAAAAGAGATTAGGACACAGACTCAAATGGAGGGAACATCATGTGAAGACACACAGAGAAGACAAGTCCACAAGAGGGGCCAGAGAAGAAATCAACCCTGCCCACCCCTTGATCTTGGACTTCAGGCCTCCAGGGCTATGAGAAAGTAAACTCCTGTTCTTTAAGCCCGCTAGTCTGTGGTGCTTTGTTACAACAGTCCCCGCAAAGGCATGACACCAAAGATGACGACGCCAAAGGCCACAGAAACCGCCGCCTGACTTCCTGGTCACTCCCGTCTGCTCCCTGGCCACTGGCAATGTTGGAGGCTGGCCATGCCCATGGCAGATGTCAGTGCTCCACCGGGCTGAAGCCATGCTCCCTCTGTCCCGCCTGTGCCCACTGGCCCTGCCTGCAGTCAGAAGAAAGTGCGTGAGTGCATGCGTGTGTGTTTGCGTGTGCATGCGCGCGGGGCGGGGGAGGGGGGTCAGGTCTGGTGTCTGTGACAGCCCCACCCACTTCTCCACTGATTGCTGGGCTCACAGGTATGGAACTGGGGTGGTGGTCCCTGATCACTCACTTTCCCACTTTCAGGGAAAATCACTGGCTGCGGGCAGGCTCCTCGTTGGCCCCGCTGACATCTAGGCCTAGAGGAGTCTGTCAGGGGCTGTGTGGCATCCTGCGCCTTGTAGGATTCTGTGAAGCATCCTTGCCTCTACCTACCGTATGTGAGTAACACCCTCTCCCCCGATGTGTGGCAGGCACAAATGTCTCCTGGCGCTGCCACACATGCCCTGGGAGCAGAATCACCTCCAGTGAGAACTGATGGGTTTCAGGAAGGATCTGACTGAGGTTACCTCAGGCCTGATGCTATCTGTAGAATTTGCAATCAGGGTCCCAGCACAGCCTCTGCCTACTCCAACCCTGCTGTCCTATTTCCTTGGCCCACTAGAAGGGAGGCATGTCATGGTATGGACAGCAGGTTCAACACAAAGCACCCAGGGCCTGGCCTGCCCCATGGTCTCAGGCAAATGCACTCCGGTCCTGAGCCTCCACTGCCTGGTGGGGGGAGGCCCACCCTGTGCCCCACTTGAGTCCCTGGGGCTTGGACCACACATCTTCACTTGCCCACTGGGACCATCTAAAAAGCCTTCCTGGGTCACCATTTTGCCCCGGGAATCTCCTAAGTGTATGCACACTTGTGTGAATGTATGCATGAACTGTCAGCATGCCCGGGTGCCTGTGTATACGTGTGTATATACATGCATTTATACACACGTACATATGTGTGTGGGGGGGGACAGCCATCAAGATCTGGGTGGACAGCAGCTCCAAGGAAAAGGACACGCAGGTCCCACGCACACCTGTCCCCCCGGCAGGGTAGGATCTGCAGGTAGGATCCAGGCCATGGCTGTGCTGAGCTGGGAACCTCCTTGCCTAGCACAGTGCCTGGAACACCCAGGTGCTCAACTAAGATTCGTTTAATAAATCAGTGAGTGGATCTCAAAGACCTGGCTGTATCCTAGTATTGGCTGTGTTTTTATGAATCTCTGAGGGCTCCTTCAGGGTCTCCATACTCTCACTTGGAGACAATTGGGTCCAAGGAACCCAGGACTGTCAATTGAGCCTGCCTCGGTGCCCTGAAATGCTTCCCAAGTTCAGCAAGTCTGCTGCCCATGTTGCACACACACATAGGGTGGGGTGGCCTATGACACTCCCTCTCTGCCCACCATGAATGGTGGAGTCTTGGGGAAAGCAGCCCCCAGCTGCCCCTGCAGGTGCCTCCTACCATGTGCAGATGCCGCTCCCTGCTCCATGAGAGAAGAGGTTAAGGGAATGGTGGGCCCCTTGGGCAGGGCCACCCACCTATCCAGCCTGCCAGCCCTGCTCATGTTCTGAGGACAACCTTGCTACTATGAGTACGAAAGGGCCTGCAGGGCCCAGGGAGGTGGCTATGGCTGCAGAGCCCATGAAGGCCCCACCCAGTGTGAAGGCCCCACCCAGTGTGAGATGCTTGTGCCCGCGTGGGTGGGAGCACTGTGTCTCGTTCTGTCCACATGGTTTGGAAAGCCAGGAGGAAAAACAGCGCAGGCAGGAAGGCAGAGTCTAGCTAGCTCTCCCTCCCTATTCTGAAGGGAAGGGCCGCTCAGGGAACATCTGGCCCAGGGCATGGACTGGGTGGGGTGGAGACAAGACTCAGGATGAGGGCACTTCTCCTAAGAATCTTCTAGAGTCCTGGTGGCATCAGACAGGGATGGCTCAGAAACCAGCCAAGTCCACGGAGAGAAAATGAGAGAGCAAAGGGCAGGGCCCAGCCTGGGGCTATTTATAACTCAGAACTGTGCTCGTGCCAGTTAAGGGAAAGGACGTGAATGCAGGGAGGGCCATGGAGGCAGGCAGGGAGGCTGGGGCGGGTAGGAAGCCGGAGGTAAAGGGAAATTGGAAAAAGAAGTCAGTGACGTGGAAGGAAGTACCTCCTACCGTGATCCTACCCAGGCGGGTACAAACACAAAACCTGAGGCTAAATAAAAGCCAACAAAGAACCCACAAAACAAAATGGGCTTGTGACAACCAAGCAGGAAAAGCTGACAGAGAACGAGGTGAATAAAACTGTTGTCAGCTGACTGCTGCCAGGCCCACAGGTGAGCTGAGGGCGGGAGCTGGAACTGAGCTTCAGGACAGGGCAGAGCGCAAGGAGGCCCCTTCTAGTCCCTCCTCCTAGTCTGCCTAATCTGGGGGAGTCCAGTGGTGATCAGGGTGCAAAACCCTAGCCGCAAGGGGGAAGCTGCTCCGGGCTGGGAGTGTGCAGTGAGCACCGCTGCTGGAAAAAGGACCCTCTTCTGCTCTGGGCAAGGGCAGATTTTCATTAGCAACAGACTGGACATTGTCCTGCGGCCCAGCCAGCGAACACCCCGAGAACCTGGCCCTCATGGCATACAGAGGGCAAGGGGCTGGCCTCTGTGCAGGGTCCTGGGGCTGCAGGTTGTTGCAACAGGCCAGCCTGTGTGAATCCTTCCCACAGCACCCCTGGCAAGGGGGCGCCTGGCCTCTGTCCAACCTCTGCCTACACTACGAACGGGCATTCACAGAGAAGACCCGTGCCACAGGAATCCACCGAGACCCCAAATTGCCAAAGAGTTCCCTGAGGGCTTCCTGGTGGCCCCATGGCCCAAAAGACTCAAGATCAGCATCTGGGACCAAACGAGGGGTGGGTGGCGTGCAGGGGGAGGGGGATGAGCAGGCTGATGCCCACGTCCCACTGGCTGGTCAGGATCAGCATGCCTCTGGCCTCAAGATCACCATGCTCCCTGGGGGAAGTGAGGTGTCCTAGGAAGCGACAGCCATGTCTTCAAACCAAAGATCAGAAATGAAAGATGACATTTGCATGGCTTGTTGCTTGGCTGGCAGGGAAACCAGGAAATCAAGGCTATGCTTGTCTCCAGAGCTGTGAAGGGCACCTGTCCTGGGGCCCCAGCCACTGGGAAGGAGCACCAGAAGGTTTCTAGAAAGGAGCTACACATAGCTCTCCAATCAAATCCCCTCCTCTTCAGACCAGCTCTGGGCCAGGGGGCGTGCTTGGGACTGGAAACCCTGGACCTGACAGGCAGAGATGTGCAACCTTCTGCAGGATGTGCACCATGAGAAACGTCTACAGCTCCTGTGAGGGCAGAAGCAGGGAGCAGGGGTCGGGGGACCAGGATCTGGAGTGGCTTCACAGAGGAGGAGCCCTGCACTAAAAGGTGAAGGCTGTACTCCAAGTCAGAGCCAGGTGTGGGAGGGAGGCCCCCTCCCCCGGACAGGGACCAGGGGCACTGAGTGGGCAGATCAGCTTCCTTTCGGGGCCAGGAAGTGCATCAAGGACTGGCTGGGTGAAGATAGCCCTCAAGGATGATGGAAAGAAATAGCCTTTCTTAAGTTCAGCACTTAGCCTACCTGAACGTAGTACCAAAACCACGCTCACAAAGCAGCAAGAGAGGGGATGCACCAAGAAAGACAAGACAGATGAGGGAGAGAAAGTGTGTCCACTGAAGAATCAGGAAGGTTTCAAACCCTGGAGCTGCGTGGCCCAAGCAAGGTACTTCACCTCTCTGAACCTCCTAGTCTGTACAAAGCTGACGCTCGACGTGGGATAGGAAGCTACCTAAGGCAGCAGCCTGTGTGTGCTGCATGGAGCAGGTACATGTTACCCACTGGCTTCCTCTCCCATCCTCTCAGTTCAGGACGAGAAGCCTGCCCAGCACCAAGGCCTTCAGAAATCACAAAAGCATATACATAAGCAGCAGTCCCGGGCCTGCAGCTAACGCGTCAGTCCCAGAGAAAAGCAGCTCAGTGAGAAGATGCACTTTTGGAGCTTCCTTATAGAACCCGGGGAAAGTCCATCCCTCTGTTGTTCTTTTTATTATTATTATTGTTTTTGTTTTTTTTTTTTTTTTTTTTGAGACGGAGTCTCGCTCTGTCGCCCAGGCTGGAGTGCAGTGGCACGATCTCAGCTCACCACAAGCTCCGCCTCCCAGGTTCACGCCATTCTTCTGCCTCAGCTTCCCGAGTAGCTGGGACTACAGGCACCCGCCACCACGCCTGGCTAGTTTTTTCTATTTTTAGTAGAGACGGGGTTTCACCGCGTTAGCCAGGATGGTCTCGATCTCCTGACCTCGTGATCCGCCCGCCTCGGCCTCCCAAAGTGCTAGGATTGCAGGCTAGAGCCACTGCGCCCGGCCTATTATTATTATTTTTTAAGACGGGGTCTTGCTGTGTTGCCCAGGCTGAGTGCAGTGGTGAGAATCACAGCTCACTGTAGTCTCGAGCTCCTGGACTCAAGCAGTTCTCCCACCTGAGCCTCCTGAGTCGCTGGGATTATAGGTGTGAGCCACCGTGCCAGGCTACGGTGTTGTCAGGGTGGAAATCATCTAGAAATAAGCTAAGCAGAGTGGGGAAGAAATCTGTCATCAGGGACCAAAAAGACAGAAAGGAGCAACTGCCCTGGGGCAGTGATTTTCTCAGCCCAAGAAGGAAGGAACCCAAGAGGTCGAGTTGGGGGATATGCACCAATGGCAAAGGGTGAGCATCTGGGCCCCAGAGCACTGCTGAAGCAGCCCCCTGAGCTGTGGGACCAGCGAGAGGAGTCAGAACTTCATGCAGGGCCAGGCGGCCCAGCACCACCCAGCCTGTGACCACTCCTGGCTATGTCCTCACGTGAGTAGGGGCGCGGGTTCACTGCTTTCTCGGAGGGCATGGCAGAGCACGTACTGAATGTGCCGCTGCTCACTAGCCATGATACCTTCAGCAAGCCACCACTGGACTTCAGTTCCACATTTGTAAAGTGGAAGTGACAGCAAGGCCAAGAATTACTAATGAGGGTCAAGTGAAAACTCACAGGAAAGGCTCTGATCACATGGATAGAGCCAGCACACGCTTTGGTAAAAGGGAGCAAGAAAACTTTATGAAGCAGAGACCCAAGCCCAGACACCACCCGGCTCAGCAGCGTTGCCGATGCCACCATGCAGGTCTTGCTGGTTTTGGTGGTTGCCTCTGGTGACATTCTCAACCTCAAGACCACGTGCTGCGTGCCTCCTCCATGCTCAGTTCAAAGCATCCCCCGATCTCCCTGACCAACACGTCTGGCAGGCTGTCTGTGTACCACATGTAGAGATGAGGAAGGAGTTTTTGGTAACCCACTCGGCTTCCAAACCATTGGCTGCTCCACCATCTACCTGCTATGTACCCCTGAGCATGGGGCCGCACTTCAGGGAACCTCACCTGGCCCTCCTGCCACACGTACACCATGGGGACTCACCGCTTTAGTGGACTCCAGGGCTCCCGAGACCAGCGCATCCCGGCTGCCCCTGCCCTTGCTGCTGAGGTGGGGCGATGAGGAGGGCGAGTCATCAATGTAGGGCAGCCCATCTTGGTGCCGGCGCTGCTCCTCTGCCCGGTCTGCAGCGCAGCCGTACCCAGGTGGTGTTCCGAACGAGCCATCTGTGTGTGCAAAGCATCCTGTGTTACAGACAGAGAAGGGAGCATCCATACCCAACCTGTCCCAGCAAGCACCCAGCTGACACCATCTCTGTCCCCAACAGGCATCTCACAAGTACCTCGGGTATGCTGATGTCCCCTTCACAACTGACTGGTTAACGACCACAGGGTGAGGGGTGATGAACACGGGCTCACTGCCCACACAATGCAAGGGGCTTTCTGAGACACATCTGCCCCCGGCAGGGGATTGTGACTTAAGAAATGTATATTTGATCTGTGCATACCCCGCTCCCTACTTTCCTGGCATGCAGTTCCTAAAACCCTTGGAATCTCCAAAGTAATACATGTCTTTATGTGTGCTAATAAATGACAGGTGGCTGGGGCTCCTGGATAGCCTCAGGAAGCGGGCTGGTTGCCAGGAGAATCAACCACATGATTAGACAGTTGGCACCCCCAACTCTCTGGGGAAGAACCACAGCTGAAGGGTGAGTTGATCACTAATGGTCAGTGATGTAATCAATCATGCCTACACAATGAAGGCTGTCCAAAAGGCCAGGGTTAGGAGAGCTTCCAGGTTGATGAAAATGTGGCAGTGCCCAGAGAGGGCATGGGAGCTCTGCACCCCTTCCCACAGACCTTCCTCTATGCACCTCTTCCATCTGGCTATTCCTGAGTTGTGTCTTTGTATTAAAAACCAGTCACCTAGCAAGTTATTTTCCTGAGTTCTGTGAGCCTTTCCAGCAAGTGATCAAACTCAAGGAAGGGGCTGTAGGAGCCTCCAATTTATGGCCAGTAGACAACCTGGACTTGCTACTGACACCTGAAGTTAGGGGCAGTCTTCGGGAGCTGAGCCCTTAACTGTGGGATCTGACGCTAACTCCATGTCAGAACTGAGTTGAAATTGTAGGACACCCAGCTGGTGTCTGCAGAGAACTGCCTGGTGTGGGAAAAAGCCCCCACATTTGGTCACATAAGCTTGTGTACAGAGAAAACAGTCGGTTCTCCCCCATACAGGGGGGTTGGGTTGCTATAGAAAGGGGAACCCCTGGCCAGATGCAGTGGCTCATGCCTGTAAGCCCAGCACTTTGGGAGGCCGAGGTGGGCAGATCACTTGAGGTCAGGAGTTCAAGAACAGCCTGGCCAACATGGTGAAACCCCATCTCTACTAAAACTACAAAAAATTAGCTGGGCGTGGTGACAGGTGCCTGTAAGCCCAGCTACTTGGGAAGCTGAGGCAGGAGAATTGCTTGAACCCGGGAGGTGAAGGTTGCAGTGAGCCAAGATTGTGCCACTGCACTCTAGCCTAGGTGACAGAGCAAGACTCTGTCAAAAAAAAGAAAAAAAAGAAAAAGAAAAGAAAAGGAAAGGAAAGAAAATGAAAAGAAAAGGAGGAACCCAAAATGTTACCGTCTTGTTCTCTGGAATGGTCCTTGTGCACCCTGCCCATGGGGTCTGATGGGGTGAGGAGCACAGGCCAGCATGCTGGCTGGGGTGTAAGTCCTGGCCACCATGAGCCGTGAGTCCTACCATGTTCTTCCCATCCCAGCCCAGGGAATTAGGGCTACAGGTTCCCCCATCCCTTGGTCCAGCTCAGCTTCTGGATGACTCATAGCCCACCTCCCAGCAGGTCTGTCAAAATCCCAGACCACCTTACCCCAATGTGAGTACCCGCAGGAGGACAAAGTGGCTTATTCTACAAGAGTCCCCCTGCCTGTTGGGACTATCTGGTTATACGGAGTAATTCACTCCTCCCAGAGGCACCTGGAGATAATCACTCCCTTCCTCTCAGGCTGAATGACAACGCCCAACACGTGTTTCCAAGGCCTTAGCCATCTGGAGCTCCTCGATGGCCTGTCCTCAGCCTGAGTTTTCTAAGCCAGTGGACTCACCACGACCATTGTCAACCCACAAGGATCTTCTAGCCCGATTCATGGCTCATACGAGGATCCCTTCTCCACTCCTTCCAAAGGGGGCCTCTGAGGCCCATGGGACTTCTGAGAGCTCACCCTGATGGGGTGGCGTCACTCTCACCATGAGTCACCTGTAAGCAGCCCTGCCCAAAGGTTACCAGCAGAGGTGACCTCGGTGTTCATTCACGAGTTTACAACTGCCACCACACACACCCAGGCTGGGTGGGCACAGGGCTGCCCTCAGGCATTCAGAGCAGCTGACCCAGCAATCCTGAAGCGGGCACAGTTGTCGTTCCTTTCCACGTGGATGGCCAGGGGGGAGCCGTGTGCCTGGAGTGATCTGCCACTAGCTGTGAGTGCAGGTGGCCGAAGTCATGGCTTCCTTGCGCACCTCTGCCTCTCCCTCTCCCAGGTTCTCCACTTCCTGTCCTACAGGACTCAGCGCTCTCTAACAGGTGTCCCCAGCCCTGGCTGCACATCGACAACACCTGGGAGGCTTTGAAAACAATTTCACTGGGATCCACACAGACCTGCCGAATCTGAAGCTATAGGGGCTTCCTGGGGAATCCAGCTGGCAGCCAGGGCTGAGACCTGCTGAGCAACCCCAACCCAGCGTCTAGCACTTTGCCAGCTGCTGACCTACAGCACTGTCCCAGGTGACTGCACACAGCTAATGGCTGCAAAGGCCAGGCCGGGTTCTGTTTCTGTGCGTATCCAAAGGAGAATTCCAGGAAGAGGCTGGGTCTGGGTTGAGCACAGCAGTCAATGTATTAAGACATCAAGAGCAGGGGGCACCCACCAAGTCCCTCAACAAGCTGTATGGAGGAATCTGGTCTCCTTGATCCATGGGACATTGAGGGGGCTCCAGGTACCAACATCACTATGTTGGTTATCAATGCTCAGTTCCTTTGGCCTTTGGGTGGGGCAAGCGAGCCGTGGCGTAATCCCTCGGAAGCAAGGCTCGGGCCCTCCCCGTTGCTACCTCTCTGTGAGTTATCCACATCACTGAAGCCATCCATGCCTCACCTTTCTTGACTTCATTTATTAATTTTTTTTTAATTTTTTGTAATGAAAACCACAATTTCGTCATTGGGTGCCACCCATTTTTGCTTAGATTCACACTATTTCCTTAGTGCTAGTTAGCAGATACTGAAATGATCTTCGCAGACTATGCAAAATGTGGAACGCTTCACGAATTTGTGTGTCATCCTTGCGCAGGGGCCATGCTAATCTTCTCTGTATGGTTCCAATTTTTTAGTATATGTGCTGCCGAAGCGAGCACGACTTCATTTATTAATTTAACAGAGACGCTGACTCGCTATGGTGCCTGGGCTAGTCTCCAACTCCGGGGCTCAAGCAATCCTCCTGCCTCAGCTTCCTTTTTTTAAAATCATGCATGTGAACTAGACAATCGATAAAGATCCTCTAGCTCTAAAATGCTACCGTCACTATTAGATGAAGGCCCTGCCATCCCCTCGGCCTCCTTCAACAACTTCCTCACCCTAGTCTCCCACCCCATGACCCTCCAGACTTGGCTTTTACATTAGCTCGGAATTGTCAGCGTCTACTAAATGTTCTAGCAGGAGTGTCCAAGTGCCCAAGGGAGACAGTACACTCATGGGTTCTTTGTTTTGTTTTTGGTTGGGCCAGCAAAGCCCCTTCCTCATCCCTCTTTTCCACTTATCATTAGAGAAAGAGACTAAAACCACAGCTTCAGGCTGCGAAACATCTAAAATGAAACAAACAGCTGGGCGTGGGGGCTCACGCCTGTAATCCCAGCACTTTGGGAGGCTGAGAAGGGTGGATCACGAGGTCAGAAGATCAAGACCATCCTGGCTAACAAGGTGAAACCCTGCCTCTACTAAAAATACAAAAATTAGCCAGGCGTGGTGGCGGGTGCCTGTAGTCTCAGTTACTTGGGAGGCTGAGGCAGGAGAATGGCTGAACCCGGGAGGCGGAGCTTGCAGTGAGCCCAGATCGCGCCACTCTACTCCAGCCTGGGCAACAGAGCGAGACTCATCTCAAAAATAAATAAATAAATAAATAAATAACATAAAATAAAATAAAATAAAACGAAACAAACAACAACAAAATAAGGTGGGTAAGACCAGCTTTTAACCAATGGTTTTACTGTTTATCTAAAGATGATCTTTTTTTTTTTTTTTTTTGAGACGGAGTCTCGCTCTGTTGCCCAGGCTGGAGTGCAGTGGCCGGATCTCAGCTCACTGCAAGCTCCGCCTCCCGGATTTACGCCATTCTCCTGCCTCAGCCTCCCGAGTAGCTGGGACTACAGGCGCCCGCCACCTCGCCCGGCTAGTTTTTTTTATTTTTTAGTAGAGACGGGGTTTCACCGTGTTAGCCAGGATGGTCTCGATCTCCTGACCTCGTGATCCGCCCGTCTCGGCCTCCCAAAGTGCTGGGATTACAGGCTTGAGCCACCGCGCCCGGCCTAAAGATGATCTTAAGACATCTTCATCACCTGGTGGAGCACCTTTTATCTGAGCGCTTTCCATGCCCATGACTACACTGACTCCCAGGCAAGGCCAAGTCAACACCCAGTAGGGAGTCAACCCAGCAAGAACTTCAGGGTCAGACTCGCGGTCTCAGGGCTTGCTCCAGAGTAACTGGAAGACTCCACAGGTGCAAAGCCACGTGCTGACTTAGCAACCTACACGCTAAAACCTGGTGCAAGAATCAAGTGCCCGGTGAGGGTCTGCCCGCCCGTGTCCAGTGAGACTTTGAAGTGGACACGTCACCCCGCCAGGTGAGACAGACCAGGTCTCATGGCCAGACTCTGCTGGGGAATTAGGATGCTCCAGACAGCTAAAACCCCAGCTGTTTCCCCCTCTGCAGAGATCTCAAATCAATGTCTGGGTGACTGATGCTTTTAAGTCTGGATTCCAGATGGCCTGCTCATCCCTACCACATTCCATATGAGGGCTTCGGCCCCTGCCTCAGCTCACCCAGATCACTCCAATCCAGACTTGTTGCCCCTCATTCTTCTGACTCTTCCAGTCTGCTCCAAGGCAAATGATGGGGTGGGGAGGACTGCCCCGCAATTTCCTCATTCCCCCAGTCTAACCAGCACACAGG